GAAAACCCGCTGATTTGGAGGATCTTGTGGGATGATGAATCCTACTGGAACCCTGTTGAAGCGAAGGTTTGGGAATTGGGAAGGCTGTTTTTGGCTAGGGCATATTCCGCGCACAAAGGAATAGGAATGCCGCGGCCGCCAAGGAACGCCTGGGTATACCTTTGCTTGAACCCCCTGTTGGTTGGCTTTTCCGAAAAGATCACAGGGAACCCTCCCTTTTGGTTTTTCTTTAATTTACAACAATTCGGGGAAAGGGAAACCGACCTTTTTAGTGTTCCCCCAATCTTGAGCCACGCCCACCGGGCGCCCGAACCCTTCCAGCGAAGACGTTTGCAAAGCGCATTCTCCCGCAGCCTGCTGAGTTCATGTCGAGCTTGGAATATGAGGTTAGGCAAAGTGGGGCCAACGTTCTGTATGGCCTTCCCCCCCGGCCATGCATCCGTGACTCCTACCTCACTTTGCGTGGGGCTATACCATGGCCACACGGGTTTGTGTTTTTCGGGGGTACCCTGTTTAGGTTGACAGGGCAACCAGAAGCAGACCACCTTGGGGTCGGATCCGATAAACATTTTGGCACATCCTCAAATGTATTCCCGCTCCACAAGTGGGTCGGTTAAACTCCCTGGAACTGCCGTGACACGCCCCATGGTGCGGCACCTGGCGGCACGTCTACGCGCCCCGGCCGATGGGGAGGTGAACATGTACAACAAAAAAACGCAGGTCACCCCTGAAATTGCGACAGCTACACGTTTTAGGTTTCAAAAAGGAAGGTGGACCTACTAGGACACAGAGGCTGATATTGATTGGCAAACTGGTGAAAGGTGGCAGGCGTGAGAAGCCGATGGAGCCTCTGTGAGGCTGATACTTATCACGAGCCATCAGAAAGGTCCGAAGAGACCTTAGGATCAGAACCTCTAAGAGAAGAGCCTGCTTTGGAATGCCAGCTTGAAATGGCCACTTCTTGAGGCGTCGGGGTATAGAAAGGCCATTGTCCAGAGTCTAGGCCTTGAAGCCGTCTTGGCGGAACCCCAATTGTCAATGGGTTTGGAACTGTGAACTCATGTTCATGCGCCGCAGGTATATGACCCTAGGAAATTAGGAGTCTTTGTTGCGAGGCAGTCATGCCATGGCCGTGCACCTCGTGTTTCGGAGCAGATGTCTGCCCTGTGGGAGAATTCAGCCAGCCGCAGGGCGTCGGCCTCGCGGAGGGTGGTTCATCCCAAGAGGAGGAAGTCGTGGCCTTCGCTTCGACCCTCCGGGCAGTTTCAAGGCCCACAGGGCCCACCAAAACTACGGAAGGCCAGGTGAGTGCCATCCGACGTCAACAGAGATCACAGGGGAAGTTGAGATTGCTGCCTGAGCTGCATGAGGAGCCCACCCAAGACACGGAAGCCGAGTCCAAGGTGGATACCATCATCCGACAGCAACGCGAGAGAGAGTCACGGGCGAAGTTGAGGTTGCTGAAGTTTCTCGAGCGGAACGACTTCAAGCATGCTGCAGTGAATTGCAGAAGGGTTAGGTTCTTCGGCCTCTCATTCACTTACCCACTGCATGAGGCTGCCAAGAAGAATGACCAGTACATCGTTCGCTTGCTGCTTCGGTTCGGAGCAAATGTTATAAACAAGGCGGGGGTGGGCATAGTTGAAGCCGTGCTCAAATCGATTTGAGGGAAAGCCAACAGGAGCTTGTTTCAAGAATTATCACCTATGTAAAGCGGGTCGTTCAAGGGCAATCCTTAACCCTTGCATTGGGTTGCGTAAGGAACATCCAGGAATAGCCCCTCTTTCCAGTCATTTTCCTATGGAGCTGGACGAAATTCTGCACCTAATCGAAACCATGGGACGCCATTCTGCTGGTATTTCCAGGGGAATCAAATCATTGCACGGTCTCTCGTAGGTGCCTCAGAGGGTTTTGTCCATCTACAGTATGGGGATGCTGAAGGATTGGCCAACCATGGAAAACCATATTTGCAGGGGAATCGAAACATTCCAGGGTTTCTGAACGGTGGTGCCAAAGAGGATTTCGTCCATCCACAGTCTCATAGCATGGGGATGCCCAGCTTTTAAGCAGCGCATGGCTTGACTTCATTGGCATCAGGACTCCGCATGCCGCACAGCGTTGGACCACATCAAGGATTCCCCTGCGCACTGCGAGGTCTGCCGCCTTCTGGGGACCAGCGCCGCTGAGCTCCGCCGACTTTTTGGGTGGGTTTTTCTTGGGTTTGCTGGAGGGTAAGGTTGACCCCGGATTTGTTTCACACCTGTTTAATATGGGAGTGTCCCTGGCCTTAGTGGGAATCATCACTTTTGGAGGGGGTTTCACCCCGATATGATTGAGCAGGGGTTTATTCATCCGTCAACATGATCCTCGAATGGGTGGTTGCCTTTGGCTTTTTGGATTGGGTTTGGATCCTTGCTTCAATTTTTGTTGGAACTCGACTGGGTTGCAAGAATTTGGCCAAACAAGTTACTCAGGTGGGGATTGTTCGGAGTGGTTTGTTCTTTTTGGTCCTTTTCGGGGTGGTTCAACCCAGGGCCCAGAACAACATGGGTGAGCACCAGGGAACCGCAGGTTGTTAATCCATGTTTCCATTTACCAGCTTCCATTTGGGTACCTATGTTTGATCCACACCCACATGTTGCAGCATCTTGCTTATTGTGGTTTAGTGGGAAGTCCCCACTTAACTGCTACAATTTAAGTCTTTGCTGCCCTTCCGACGTCAACCTAGAGGGCACAACATGTTGGGTAGACGGGGGTTGGCCTGGACTTGAGTGTCGGTGATGGGGGTACGTTTGGATTGCGCTGACTTCTGCGGGGGTAGTTCTGTTCGGACATCTTTGACTTTTGTCAAAGCACTGCCAGACACAGCCAATGACATATCACTGGCCAAACGTGAGTAGGTGGTCTATGGCATGTGTCGAGTGGTGCCAGCCTGGGCACAGCTTGCGCAAAGCCAAACAGAAGTGTTTCCATCAGGGATGCTGGAAGTAGACGGAGTGCGCGCAGCAGCTCGCAGACGCCAACATGACAAGCGCCCGCACAGCGCGCAAGCAACAAAGTATGCGAAGAAGCTTAAGGCTCCGCTTTCAAACAGCCCGCCGCAGCAGCAGGGTGCTGGCTTTATGGGCGCGCTGCTGAAAAAGTAGCTCAGGCGCAGCCAGTTCCTCTGAAAAGGTCGGGCCCATCATGCCTACAGGGTTTTGCCCAACACGACATAGACCACGCTTGGCTTGCGGCGGCCCCCGAAGAGCAGCAATCTACAGCCTGAGACCACAAAAGCGCGTGTGAGATCCGAGTTCCTAATCACGAGTACGCAGGCTTGACAGCACTTGGAAGACGCCGGCCCACGAACTCCATAACACACCGTTTTTTTGGTGGTGCGCTTGCATAGTCCGGACTTCGCGTCCACTGCGCCTGCGCCTCAGTCCGGGCCAGCCCTCCATCAACCCAACATGTTGCAGCATCTTGCCTGCATCCACCTGCTCGCATTGAGGACGCTTGGAGGCTGCGAGGCTTCCGGCAATTCTTCGCAGCGGTGGAGCGGCGCGACCCCCTGCTCAGAACCAAGAGTGCGAAGCCATGCAATAAGTGAGATGAGGTCACGCAGCGAAACATCAGCGCCCTTGTACCCTTTTTTGGGGATAGTAAAAGAGACTACAGAAAAAGTTGGTGCCCTTATTCTAACCTCGCTACTGGAGGACCTATCGTGCCTCAACCTCTGCCTTTGAAAGTGACCCGCTCGGTGCAAGCCGACCAGCTTGACGGGTTAGCGTGTTCAGCGTGGGGCATCTTGAAAGAAATCATCACTTCCATTCCATCGTGGCATGTGTCACATCGAGCGGTCATGTCAAGGCGAGTCATTCTAATTAATTTCTGGGCGCGCGCCCAACAGCTTCGTTCTGTTGTGTTGGTTTGTTGTCAAAGCCTCCAGTAGGAGTTGACATAGGAGGTGGCTGGCCCTCCCTTCTTTGTGGCCGAAATTCGCAGGAAGATTGCAGGGATTCGGGGATCCCCCGTGGCTCTTGCAATCTGGTTTTCAGGCAAGGGTGGCTGCTCAGCTGCTTGCATCGATTCCGAGCTTTGAGAAGGCCCTCTTCTGGCGCAGTGGATGCTGGGAGGGGTGACTCAGTAGTCTGTGCCGACCAGCTTGACGGGGGTTAGCGTGTTCAGCGTGGGGCCGGACACGGGAACAAGTGGCATCTTGAAAGAAATCTTCACTTCCATTCCATTTCGTCGGGAGGTGTCACATCGAGCGGTCGAGACAAATCAAGTTCTGGGCGCGTGCCCGCCTCAGCGAACGAGGCAAAAGCTTCGTGTTGCGTTGATCTCTGTTCTCAAAGCCTCAAACAGGAGGTGACTGGCCTTAACTTCTTTGTGGGCCGAAGTTTGCAGGGCATTTGGGATCCTCCATGGCCCCATGGCCCTTGCAATCTGATGATCTTAAAATCTCAGCCGTGCGTGGCTGCTCAGCCACTAATTGTCTCAATCCCAGTCATTGTAAGTGACCCGCTCGGTGCGACGCGTTCGCTTCCATTCCGTGGCAACGGGAGTCACATCGAGCGGCCACGGCAAGTCAACCAAACTCATGTGCAAGTTCTGGACGCACGTCCGCTTCAGCCAAGGAGGGCGAAAGCTTGAATTCAGCCAGCCTTGTAACGTTATGATATGTTGACTTGTTGTCAAAACCTAAACTGGGGGGTGCCCAGCCCTCCATTTTTTGTGGCCGACACCTGCAGGAAGGTGTCATCGCGACAATTGATGCGACGACCCTTTCCTGGCGCAGTGAATGCGCTGCTAGTGGGAGGGATGACTCAGTCGTAGCCTTTGCACGTGACCCACTCGGTGCGACCCTGTGATTTCCATTTCCCGAAATCCGTTCGCGGGGGTGGGCAGGCCTGCTGGGCCCCTTCGAAGGGGCACATTGAGCGGTCACGTCACGATGAACTCCAGGATTCCGGGCTGATGAAGCAGGATTCCGGGCACGTTCTCACAAAAGCACAGGCGGCTACTAGGTTCAACTCTGCCAACCTTGGTTACATTGACCACTGTTTTGCTGACAGGTAGTTTTTTTTTGGGCTTTGGATGGCACTCAGGGCTTCCCAAAGAGGATGGTCCTTGTGGGGTGCTGGCGGATTGGGAGAAAACAAGCTCGGACGCCACTGAAATGTCTGCCGGGAACTCGGGGACTGTTGCTGAAGAAAAGCCAACGGGAAAACACTCGTCGCTCGCCCCTTGCTTTGATGAGGATAAGTTGTTAGAAACCTCGAGGGAGCCTTCCTCACGGATATCTTCGTTTTACCACCAAGGTGGCCAGAACTTGCTGGTGCTCAAATTCGGGAATCACAAAGGGTTTGGGAATGGACCTATCCCTTGCAGCCTTAAAGGAAACCACAAGAAATGGTTCGTAGAGGGCACCCCGTAGTACTTTCTGCTACATGTCAATGCGGTAGGAAAGGCCAACCTTCTCACTGGACCCCATGTTCCGCGCTCCTTCCTTTCAAGGAAGAAGAGAAAGGTCGACATCAAAACCTGGTGTTAAAACGGTCTAACCGTTCTAACCAAGAATCATTTGGCCTCCATTTATGGTTGGAACTATGCCTACAAACCTTCACGTAACCAGGTGTTCTTGTGGCTCTGCGGGTGTGCTTCTGCTGTCCCAGCTGCGAAAACTCGTCGCCGCTTTTCGCATTCAAAGCTCGCAGCAAGAAATCGATGGACTGCTAAGCTGGTTGCAAGGGCAACGGGGAGCTGTCCTGACGCCCCCGAGAGCTTCCGGTCTCCTTCCGGGCCCCGCGAAGTAACTCTAGGGTTTAGGGTTTCCTCTTTAAGGTGAAGGGAGGGATTCTGGAAGGGCTGTAATAAAACCCCAAACCCCAAGTCCAAAAGCCCAAACAAAGGCTACGCGCTGCTGGACGTGGACGGCGTGTGCGCCTTGGGGCGCAAAGAGGTGCCCGGCTCGGCCAAGGCGCTGGCGCGCCTCCGTGCCCCGTCGTGGGCTTCGGGCGGCTTCCGGCGGTCCGATGGTGTGTGTGTGTGTGTGTGTGTGTGTGTTTGTTCGTTTGTTTGTTTGTTTGTTTGTGTTTGTGTGTTTTTTGGTGTGTGTGTGTGTGTGTGTTTTGGGGCATTCGTTTAAGACATGTTTTTTGTATTTGCTCCTGTTTTTTTTTTTTTTGGGGGGGGGGAATCTATCACTTCTGGAATCTTCTGGACATATTTTTCCCAGTGTACTTGTAAGCAAATGGAAGATGTCCTCTTTTATGGCCTCAGAAGAGGGCTTCGATGTTCCTTGCGCTCCCAACCCCCCAAAGAAAGACGAGCCACCCAGATATGTTCTTTGTTGAAGGTAATTACCCTTAGCATGGTCCCCTCCAAAAAAGAAGCAGAAGAAGAAGCAGCAGCATTTTGTGAGCAAGTAAGCGCCCCGGAGCAGCCCAACCGCCCCAAAGACCCATCCAGATCCTCACACTAGCAGTTCCTCCCAGGTGCCTCCGTGAGAGCCGTGCGCCTCGTCACCAACCAGTCCCAGGAGTCTTCAAAAGATTTGATGCGCGCCACCTAGGGCGCTGGGGCGCGGGAGACTCATGGACAACTGCTACTGGTGAAGAGCATACAAAGAAGCGACAGTGCACGGGATAGAATGATTCTGGAAGCAGTTGGATTTCGGTTGGTTGAGACTTCTCATGGACAATTACTATTGGGTTGGATCTTTGGACTTCTTTGACGCTTCGTCTTTAGCTCACGCACTCTCTGCTAAATCGGTTGGTTGACGAGACTTTAACTTTTTGGATTCCCCTCATATTTGCTTTTACCAAGCAGAAAGTGTTTGACTCTTTGCTGGGGGATCTACAGCACCCAAGTCATGGACAACTCGGTAGCTCAGTTGCCCGGAGGCGAATCGACCTTTTTAACCTTTCGGTCTCCCTGATTTGGTCAACATTTAGTAACGGTTCCAAAAGGTTTACCTTGTATTCTGCTAGCCGCTTGGGCAACTGTTGGGATTTGAGACCATACGGCGTCTTCACCAGGCACTTGGCCCAACCCCATCCTCAGTTGTCCTGAGCGGGGCATTCTGCACCAGCCATGTATGCTGGGGTTTTAGGTTGCCAGTCCCGCACTGCCCAGAACATCCCCCCTAGTGCCAAAGTCATGGAGATGCTCCACTTTGATACCACGAAAATTGTCATTTTCGATATGCTCACAGGTTTTGAATATTACCGCCCTCCATGCTGCTTGCATTACTGAAGTTGTGTCCAGGTCCTTGGGGCAAGTGAAGGTTGGAGGAGTGGACACTTGGGCAATCACCTTCTTTTGGGGCATGTTTGTTTTTGGGGGGGGCTTGGGCCGGGAACGTAGCACATGTGCCCGCAATTGTGGCGCACCCACTTCTTGTCTCCAGATGTGTGCAAAGTGTAGCTATTGTACTATTGGTTGGACATGCTACCTAAGTGTCGCTACCTATTTTGTGCCCATGGCAACCCCGCCCCCTCCGCCAATCCAAGCGCAGGGGTGTCCAATCCAGGAGACTTGCTCCTCCTTGCTGCGCCGGTTGCAAGATCTGCAGTTCGACGTGCGCGGCTCGGCGCATGTTTTTGTTTGTTTGTTTTTGTTTTGTCTCTCTCTCTCTCTCTCTTTTGGGAGGGGGGGATTCCGGGTTTATTCGTTCTGGATTTGTGGTTTGGGGATTGGAGCCCTGGTTCTTGTAGAGGGTACGTGGGAAGCCAGCCTTTAGCAGTTTCAAGTTCCGGAAGCGGCCAAGCTGGGAGGGAGCTGTGCAAGCCTTGTTCCCCTTGAGAAGACATGCCAAGCAAACTATACACCAACACAAAAGACGCACCCTTGGTCAATTCTCCTAGGTCCCCCAGTAGTGCCCTGGTACCTTTTTTGGGGGAGGGTTCCCCTACTAAAAAGGTTACCCTTATTCTGGCCTCTACTGGAGTACCTAGTCTCTGTTTGGCAAAGGGGGTCATTCGGATTCATTTTGCCGGATGTGCGTGCCGCGAGCCGATCTCGAGCGAAGGCTGGCATCAAGCGGTATGGAATTTGCAGGCTCCTTGTAGCACTATGGGTGTGTCATAGGGGGCCTCCCAAAACTGCTTGGGTTATTTTTCTTGACTGTTATTGGGTTGGATCTTTAGACTTTAACTTTTTGGGAATTAAAGGGGGTTTCCACTAAACCCCCAAAAAGTTAAGCTTTTTGCAGGGGGGTCAACAGCAACCAAGTTTCGGTTCGCTTCGAGCCAGCCTGAAAAAACGGGTAGGCAACCGAAAAAGGCAGATCCATCTCCCGTGGATCGGATTGATCGGATTCCTTTTAGTCTCTCTGCAATAAGCCAGCCTGAACACGGGTACCCTCAAACAAGGGTATACATCCGCGTGCGGATCTACCTGTTGGGTTTGCTCCGTCTGTTGCAGGTCGGCCAGATGTGCCTTCAGCCCAAAATGACAAGTCATCCCTAACCTTTGAGGCGACGGGGAGGTCTTCAGCGCGCTGAGCGCGGCGCGGGCGCTGGTGGCGCAGAGCGACCGGCGGCCCTTGAGCCTCCTCACCGCCGAGGCCCTGGAGGCCGTCGGTGGACTCGAAGTGGATGGCCCCTCTTTGGCGCGTTTTTTTCCCCTTGCGGCAGACGAAGAAGGACTTGCGGTTTTTAGTGGGTCATGACACCAACCGGAGACTGGTGGGAAAAAACTGGGGGGGGGAGAAGGGGTGAGACAGGGGGGAAAGGGGTGAGACGCGGGGGAAAGGGGTTTGGGGCAGGGGCATCTTAGTGAAGCCAAGGGCAGTGGAAGATCTCTTGAGTAGTGAGCCACCTTCCTTGAAAACAACCGGTGTCGGGAGAGCCCTCTGCATTGTTAGGCAGAATCACAAAAAGGGTTTGGGGGGAGGGGGGAACAAGTTAGTGTTGCAACAGTTGCTCAGGTTCCTTGGATAGCCCTTGTTGCAACGGGGCACTTCTCCGGACCATGACCAAGGACTCAGGGGGAGCACTTTTTTAACCCAAGTTAGTTGTTGTTTTAAAGTGGCACTGCAGATCCCGATCCCATCCACTGGTTTGGGGACGCAAATTCGCCTATCGTGGGCACGTGTCCTTGGTCAATGGCTTGATTGAGTTTCTGCAGCGTGACACTTGAAGACATCAATCGGGTGCCCTCTCCCAAGCCACCAGGCTGAGATGAAATGTGAAAGGATTTTCGGAGAAACCCCAAGGCTCCCTATGGTCATCCTTGCCATGCAGCGCGGCAGTGTGCCTTCAGTGATTCCGAACCAGTTGCTGGTGGCAGTGTATCAGGATGTTTGGAGGGGGGGAGGGCACTATTTGCAAGTGGTCGTTTGGAATCTCCGGGCCAACTTGTGTCAGCCCCCATCTCAAGTGAGAATAAAGAAGAAGAAGAAGAAGAAGAAGAAGAGGAGGAGGAGGAGGAAGAAGAAGAAGAAGAAGTAAAAAGGACCCTAAGGCCTCAGAAGTCGCGAGCGAAAGCTGGCGCTTCAGCTTTTCGCACCCTGCTGGTAAGTGAAGGGGAAACACTGCACCAGCCCAAACAGGGATGCTGATAGTTGTCGTGACTCTCCCATTTCTGTGTGTTCGATAGATTCTGGCCGGAAAAAAAGGACACCTGTGGACTTCGTCACTTCGCCCTCTCACTTCGCAGGGTGCCCTGTACTTCCTCCCAAAACACGGGAACCTCGCTTGCGGCAGCCCAAAAGGGTGGATGTTGAAAACGCCTTCAGGGTATGTGTCTTAAAAAAGGGATTCGAAGCCCAACATGTGATTGGTGGTTTTCCTCTTGGTTGCCTTTTGCAAAAGGGCAAGCTTTTGCTGCAAACACAACGAGCAGACCCACATAACTCGGGCACCTCCGTATATTCTGTATCCTCCCTAAATGGCTAAATGGCCACCAAAAGGGATGTTTACGTTTGCACCCAGATGGAAAACACAGGGTGTGTCTTTTTTCCACCCCCAAAAAGGGACACACACACACACACACAACAGGCGTCTTTCTTTCGCGAACCCCCCCCCCCTCCACCCCAAAGGTTCTTGCTGGTGCTCAGCAGAGAATTGAATGAGCCGGATTTTTCCTCGCTGTTCCCTTGAACTGGCGGTTTTTTATTGGGAATGAGGGTATTCATTTAAATCCAACTGGTGCTTTCCTTCCCCTGGGATCATTCGACCAGATCCCCGCGCCAACCCCCCCGAGGAGTTCCATGGCCTGGAGACCCAGGAGCCCAACGCGGTGGTCGTGGGCACCGCCTCTTGACTTGGCTCGGGGGGGTGGGGTGGGGGGGGTGCGCAGTTTGTCGGTGTTTTGGACCCAAATCAGACGTTTGCACCTGATTTGTAAGGATTCGCATCCAGATCAGCTGGCAAAGTGATTTTGTAACTGCACGAAATGTCTCAACTTGTTCTTCCACCCTGGAAAAGCAGTTGCCTTCGGCCGATTTTCCATTTGAATTGAAGCATCAAGAAGGGCCCTGTTTTTGCGGGTCCTTGGAGGACCAAGGTCAGTTGCGTTTTCCCTTGGAACACCGTTTCTGTCTGTCCGTCATTGTTGGGAAACCGTTGCACCATTCTGGGCCTAGCCAACATGGCTGTGTGTTTTGTTGTGGGGACACCCAATGAAAACCGTTGCGCCATTATGGCCAACCTGTTTTTTGCGGAAACCGAAGGACAACAGTTGGGCCATGGTTCGGGAAGTCCAACCAAAAGGTGGCAGACCCGAATAGCAGCTCTTCCAGAATAAGGTCCATGATTCGACAGAGAGAGGAACCAAACAGATGTTCAATTGGTGAGATGTGGGAAGCTGCTTTAGTTTTTGTGTCATGGTTTTGTGAATCATCGCAGATTGGCTTTGGCATCCAAGAAACCAACTACAGGAAATTCTACAGGAAACCACCTGATTTTGGTGGGTATTTGGCTAACTTCCTGTAGAATTTCCTGTAGCTGGTTTCTATCATGGAAGGGTTCAGCCTAACTTTGCGAAAGCTTCGAAGGCGAGTCTTCCTTAAAGGGATCAGCGCTGTTTCAGGTGGAAAAGCGTCAGCCGGAGATGGGTTTTGGGGCTGAGTCTTTTAACAGCTTTGGGCTTCGGACCCTCAGACGTGCGAAAATTCCTGGGACGCTGAGCGAATGAGGAGGGGCTCACCCAGCCAGTGGACACACTTGACACGCTTTTGTCTTGGTGGCTTCCCCTTCTTGCTGGTGCTCAGCTTAAAGGAAACCACCAGTTTGAATCAGTTTGATGTTTTTCCTTGGGGTCGTTCCATTTCTCATTCCCTACATCTCTCGCACCGATTGCAAGTCATTTATTCCAAGAACCCGCCATACCTTTTCAGCATACACAGAAGCCTCCAACATGTGTTTCCCCTTCCGATGGCCTTTAGCGGGAATCACTTTTTGTGCCCCTGGCCCAAGAAAAACGCCGCCCAATGGGCCGCTAAGCTCCGGCCATAGGCGCCTGAGCACATGCATTACCAGCGCCTCAACGAAGCTTTGGAGGTCCTCCTCCGGGAGGCTGTTGTGGGGGGTGGGGGTGGAGGGTGGGGTGGGGGGAGGGGGTGGGGGGTGGGGTGGGGGGTGGGGGTGGGGTGGGGGTGGGGGTGGGGTGGGGGTGGGGTGGGGGTGGGGGTGGGGTGGGGGTGGGGGTGGGGGTGGGGGTGGGGGTGGGGTGGGGGTGGGGGGGTTTGGTCTTTGATCGGTTCATGTTGGTGAAGAGCGGCTTTATCATGGTTGGTTTTGGTAAAGTTTATGATGGTGAGCATGCGTGTCCTGTTTAGGTTAGTTTGGTTAACATGGATACAACTGGTTTAGATGGGTATTTTTCCGTTGGCCAAGGGCATCTAGTTGTCCAAAAGGCCACCTATGATGGCGTGTGTATCAGTACCATGTTTGTGTCAAAATGGGGTACCAAAAATCACACACACACACACACCACCTTTTTTGGGGGGGCAGGCTGCTGAAGGAATATCTGGAAAGGGGTTCTGTGGCCAGCCAGCTGCCAAGTGTATGGCTACCAGGGCATTTTGGTGGTTTCCTTTTTTGGCGGGGTGAGTTTCGTTTTGGCAAGGTGATACTTCGCTGTAGGGTTGCATTTCTCTGCTTTCCAACCATCATTCTTTACAAAACCCGCTGTTTTCCTTAGTTCAAGTGGTTTGCTACACAGATTGGGGGGGGGGGTGGGCTTTACCCTTCCCACTAACCTAGCCGTAGGCCCGAAAGATCAATTTCAATTTTCAAGGGGCCCTTGTCAGGTGCCACACGAGAGAGTAGATTGAAAAAGGTCCCTTAAAGGACACCTTTGTAAGGACCCTAAAAAACAGAGCCCTTCTTGATTTCCCGAAAGCATGGCGAAGGGTTCTTCCGCTGGGTTCACTTGAGTTGTTCTCATGAGAGTCATTACAAGGTGTCATTGCAAGGAATCACCATCATGAAAGTCAATGCAAGGAGTCATTGCAAGGAGTCATTGCAAGGAGTCATTGCAAGGAGTCATTGCAAGGAGTCATTGCAAGGAGTGCAAGGAGTCATTGCAAGGAGTCATTGCAAGGAGTCATTGCAAGGAGTCATTGCAAGGAGTCATTGCAAGGAGTCATTGCAAGTCATTGCAAGGAGTCATTGCAAGGAGTCATTGCAAGGAGTCATTGCAAGGAGTCATTGCAAGGAGTGCATTGCAAGGAGTCAAGGAGTCATTGCAAGGAGTCATTGCAAGGAGTCATTGCAAGGAGTCATTGCAAGGAGTCATTGCAAGGAGTCATTGCAAGGAGTCATTGCAAGGAGTCATTGCAAGGAGTCATTGCAAGGAGTCATTGCAAGGAGTCATTGCAAGGAGTCATTGCAAGGAGTCATTGCAAGGAGTCATTGCAAGGAGTCATTGCAAGGAGTCATTGCAAGGAGTCATTGCAAGGAGTCATGAGAGTCATTGCGAGCTGCGCATGGAGTCAAGTGCAAGTTGCAAGTGCAAGGAGTCAAGTGCAAGTTGCAAGTGCAAGGAGTCAGGTGCAAGTTGCAAGTGCATGGAGTCAAGTGCAAGTTGCAAGTGCAAGGAGTCAAGTGCAAGTTGCAAGTGCAAGGAGTCAAGTGCAATTGACTTGCGAGGAGTTAAAATCTCTTCTTAGGGCGGCGGGGTAGTGCCGACGACACTACACGAAAATCGACCCTCTGCGGGGATCGGCGTGGTCGAGGTGCAAAAACCCATGGTTTTTTGCGATTTCTAACCTGCTCGCGCGACCCTCTGCGGGGATCGGCGTGGTCGAGGTGCAAAAACCCATGGTTTTTTGCGATTTCTGCGGTGCTCGCGCGACCCTCTGCGGGGATCGGCGTGGTCGAGGTGCAAAAACCCATGGTTTTTTGCGATTTCTAACCTGCTCGCGCGACCCTCTGCGGGGATCGGCGTGGTCGAGGTGCAAAAACCCATGGTTTTTTGCGATTTCTAACCTGCTCGCGCGACCCTCTGCGGGGATCGGCGTGGTCGAGGTGCAAAAACCCATGTTTTTTTTTGCGATTTCTGCGGTGCTCGCGCGACCCTCTGCGGGGATCGGCGTGGTCGAGGTGCAAAAACCCATGGTTTTTTGCGATTTCTAACCTGCTCGCGCGACCCTCTGCGGGGATCAAAACCCATGGTTTTTTGCGATTTCTGCGGTGCTCGCGCAACCCTCTGCAGGGACCAACTTGCCGGAGCAACTTGCGCGGAGCAACTTGCGCAGAGCAACTTGCACAGTGCAACTTGCGTAGAGCAACTTGCGCAGACCAACTTGCACCGACCAGTTTGCGCAGAGCACCTTGCCTGGTGCTGTCTCGCGCCAACTTGCACACACTGCAACTCGCACAGAGCAACTTGCGCAAAGCAACTTGCGCAGAGCAACTTGCGCATGTGCCAGGCCGGGGTTAAACAAGTTTGCCGCACATCGTGGGGAGTTATGCTTTCAGGCCACTCACCCTGTAGGAGTTTGACGCAAGGAGTTCTCATCATGAAAGAAGTTGCGGGGAGCATGGCGCACACGGCTTATTTACGGGCATGGCGCACACGGCTGGTTGTTATGTGGCATCTTGCGGATGATCATCGAGATTTGGCTCAAACAGAAGTCATGGAGCTCGAAGTAGCTAGGCTTCAGGCTGGCGCGGCCCAGCATGGCAAAGCGTGGCTGCAGCAAGAGGTGGCGGCCAAAGCCCAACCCCAACTTCGCGCACTCGCCCGACAGCTGGATGTGCGCCAATGGGTCGCAGGCAGCAACGTGACCAAGGCAGACCTAGCTGCCGCTGTCGTGGAGCAGCTGTGCCCACAGGCCAGGATCAAAATCTGGAAAGTTTTGCTGGTGTTTGTTTTGCTGTGCTGATTGTTGCCAGGAGCCAAGCAGTTCTGCGGCTTCGCCGACGCCGGTGTCTCGACCTGGTCGTAGTCGGTGTTTGACGCTTTTGTTTTTGATGATGTTTTGCGGATGGCCGAAATGTAAGCACCAGATGGCACCATGTCGTGTTTCTTACGGACGGTTGCCTCATCTCATGGACATGGCAGGATGAGGCAGAGCTTGTCGTGGCTTCGTGCTGGTTTGGCGGAGAAGGGCAAGGCGTGGCTCCAGCAAGAGGTGGCGGCCAAAGCCCAACTTCAACTTCGCGCGCTCGCCCGACGGCCGGATGTGCGCCAACGGGTCGCAGGCAGCAACGTGACCAAGGCAGACCTAGCTGCCGCTGTCGTGGAGAAGCTGTGCCCACAGGCCAGGATCGAAATCTGGAGAGTTTTGCTGGTGTTTGTTTTGCTGTGCTGATTGTTGCCAGGAGCCAAGCAGTTCTGCGGCTTCGCCGACGCCGGTGTCTCGACCTGGTCGTAGTCGGTGTTTGACGCTATTGTTTTTGATGATGTTTTGCGGATGGCCGAAATGTAAGCACCAGATGGCACCATGTCGTGTTTCTTACGGACGGTTGCCTCATCTCATGGACATGGCAGGATGAGGCAGAGCTTGTCGTGGCCACGCTTCGTGCTGGTTTGTCGGAGAAGGGCAAGGCGTGGCTCCAGCAAGAGGTGGCGGCCAAAGCCCAACCCCAACTTCGCGCACTCGCCCGACGGCTGGATGTGCGCCGATGTGTCGCAGGCAGCAGCGTGACCCAGGCAGACCTAGCTGCCGCTGTCGTGGAGAAGCTGTGCCCACAGGCCAGGATCGAAATCTGGAGAGTTTTGCTGGTGTTTGTTTTGCTGTGCTGATTGCTGCCAGGAGCCAAGCAGTTCTGCGGCTTCGCCGACGCCGGTGTCTCGACCTGGTCGTAGTCGGTGTTTGACGCTTTTGTTTTTGATGATGTTTTGCGGATGGCCGAAATGTAAGCACCAGATGGCACCATGTCGTGTTTCTTACGGACGGTTGCCTCATCTCATGGACATGGCAGGATGAGGCAGAGCTTGTCGTGGCCACGCTTCGTGCTGGTTTGGCGGAGAAGGGCAAGGCGTGGCTCCAGCAAGAGGTGGCGGCCAAAGCCCAACCCCAACTTCGCGCACTCGCCCGACAGCTGGATGTGCGCCAATGGGTCGCAGGCAGCAACGTGACCAAGGCAGACCTAGCTGCCGCTGTCGTGGAGCAGCTGTGTGGCCAGGTCGGTCCAAAGCTGCGCAGTCTTGTGTTTTCCCGAAAGCATGGCGAAGGGTTCTTCCGCTGGGTTCACTTGAGTTGTTCTCATGAGAGTCATTACAAGGTGTCATTGCAAGGAATCATCATCATGAAAGTCATTGCAAGGAGTCATTGCAAGGAGTCATTGCAAGGAGTCATTGCAAGGAGTCATTGCAAGGAGTCATTGCAAGGAGTCATTGCAAGGAGTCATTGCAAGGAGTCATTGCAAGGAGTCATGGCAAGGATTGCAACTTGCACTTGACTCCTTGCACTTGCAACTTGCACTTGACTCCTTGCACTTGCAACTTGACTCCATGCACTTGCAACTTGCACTTGACTCCATGCACTTGGCTCCTTGCACTTGGCTCCTTGCACTTGGCTCCTTGCACTTGGCTCCTTGCACTTGCAACTTGCACTTAACTCCGTGCACTTGCGACTTGCACTTGACTCCATGCACTTGGCTCCTTGCAACTTGCAATGGCTCTCATGACTCCTTGCAATGACTCCTTGCAATGACTCCTTGCAATGACTCCTTGCAATGACTCCTTGCAATGACTCCTTGCAATGACTCCTTGCAATGACTCCTTGCCATGACTCCTTGCAATGACTCCTTGCAATGACTCCTTGCAATGACTCCTTGCAATGACTCCTTGCAATGACTCCTTGAAACAAGCAAGGAGTCAAGTGCAAGTTGCAAGTGCAAGGAGTCAAGTGCAATTGACTTGCGAGGAGTTAAAATCTCTTCTTAGGGCGGCGGGGTAGTGCCGACGACACTACACGAAAATCGACCCTCTGCGGGGATCGGCGTGGTCGAGGTGCAAAAACCCATGGTTTTTTGCGATTTCTAAAGTTGCTCGCGCGACCCTCTGCGGGGATCGGCGTGGTCGAGGTGCAAAAACCCATGGTTTTTTGCGATTTCTAACCTGCTCGCGCGACCCTCTGCGGGGATCGGCGTGGTCGAGGTGCAAAAACCCATGGTTTTTTGCGATTTCTAACCTGCTCGCGCGACCCTCTGCGGGGATCGGCGTGGTCGAGGTGCAAAAACCCATGGTTTTTTGCGATTTCTAACCTGCTCGCGCGACCCTCTGCGGGGATCGGCGTGGTCGAGGTGCAAAAACCCATGGTTTTTTTGCGATTTCTGCGGTGCTCGCGCAACCCTCTGCGGGAATCGGCGTGGTCGAGGTGCAAAAACTCAAGGTTTTTTGCGACTTTTGTTGTTCGAACTGGTCCTCGGGAGTTGTCTCGTGGTTCGCGCGCCTGCTCCCGGAACCGGCGGGTCGCGGGTTCGATTCCTCCCTGGTCCGCGGGCGGGCGTCGCAAGATGCAACTTGCATTTTAAAGCAACTTGCGCAGAGCAACTTGCGCAGAGCAAGTTGCACAGAGCAACTTGCGCAGACCAACTTGCACCGACCAGTTTGCGCAGAGCGCCTTGCCTAGAGCAACTTGCGCAGAGCAACTTACGCAGAGCAACTTGCACAGAGCAACTTGCACAGAGCAGCTTGCACAGAGCAACTTGCAGGGAGCGCAATTTGCACAGAGCAACTTGCAGGGAGCCACTTGCAGGGACCAACTTGCCGGAGCAACTTGCGCGGAGCAACTTGCGCAGAGCAACTTGCACAGTGCAACTTGCGTAGAGCAACTTGCGCAGACCAACTTGCACCGACCAGTTTGCGCAGAGCACCTTGCCTGGTGCTGTCTCGCGCTTGCTTCACGAAGTGTAGGGAAAAAGAACGCATCCTGCAGCGTTGGGCCGACCTCGCTTGCGATGTTCTGCTTTCGGGCCAACCGTGGTCTAGTTTCCTTTGGTATCAAATGGAGGCTCGCCCCAAAGGCCTGCTTTTTCAAGATGCGGGAAGATCAAGGATACATGTTGGACAGTTACAAAGTCAATTTGCCAGCCGATTTGGATCCAAATCCAGAACAGACAAGTGGTGGGATGTATCCGTCTGGAACCGAGGGGCAAGTTCATGCATGGACCTGCCACCAGGGCAGCCAGCTGATTGCGGCGCCTGGGCTCCGAGTCGCTGCTTCCAGTCTTGGGGGTCTCTGACAAGGAGTTGGCCCGTTTTTTTCGGCGGCGGAGGGTGCCCTGCCACCAATTCACAGCCGGAACCTGACGTTCGGGGCCGGCTCCCTTTAAAAGGAACACCGGCCAAACCAGGACCCCCGAACGTCAGGTTCCACGTCAATTGGTGGGAGGGTACCCGTTTTAAAGAGACACCAAACAGAACACCGTTGCTCCGTTTGGTGTCCAAGTCCTAAAGAATCCAGGCGACACCCATTCGAAGTTTCTGGGACTGGGTGGGAATTGGGGCAATCAATGTCCGGCAAAGTGACTTCGGGTACTTCACGGTTGATTGGGGGTGTTTTTCTTTGGCAGAAAGCCTCAACTTGGGGTGACACACACACACACACCCTATTGCCCTCCTGTCCACTTTGCCATGGAACCGACCAGATGGTCCCCTTGAAAGGAAAGTCGTCTTGGACGGCGGCAACGTGGACAGGAGTAGGATGTCTAGGTCCCCCAGTAGTGCCCTTTCTCACCCCTTTTTTGGTTGGGAGGGCTCCCCAACTAAAATAGACCACAGGAAAAAGTTGGTACCCTTGTTCCAACATGGCTGTGGCTCAAAAAACCGGCACCAAAATGGAACCCTGGCAAATGGAAACATGGACTAAAACCTGCGGTCCGCTGTTGGTTTAGTTTTGACCCATCCCCACATCTCTACTGGAGGACCTAGGCGTGCTCTACAGAAAAAAAACAACAAGTTGGTACCAACTTATTCTAACCTCGCAAATCTGGAGGACCTTGAACTGGTCCCAGTGATTCCAGTCTGGTTTTCTTGTAGGGGCCAAATTTTCCGGTGCCACGACCTCAGGTGAACAAGGGACGCTACTTCCGGCACGCGGACGGCCGCAACGCCATGTCGGCCGGGCCCTTCGTGGCCGCCCTGGAGTTCGCCTCCGGCGCTCCGGCGCCGACGGGGCGGAGCCGGCGGGGCTGTGGGGAAACCCCGCACGCCTCTCTGGGGCCATGAGGTAAATTCCCGGGTCTTCCCCAGGCCCGCAGAAGAAGGAAGCTAGGCTTTTCAGTGGTGCCCTTTTTGTCTCTCTTTTTTTGGGGGGGACGACAGAAAAAAGTTGGTACCCTTATTCTAACCTCTCTGCTAAAAAACCTGGGAAGGGTGCGCAGGTGTCGTTTTTGGTTGGTTTGGTTGAACAATATGGTGCCCTGGCGTACTTGGTGGTTCAATCATCCACCAGTGCAGAGTCATCGATTGTCCAAAGGAAACCTACGGAAGGGTCCTTCTGGATTTGGCACTTTCAAATGGAACATCGGCCAGATCAAGGATTCGGCGTTTCACGAACACTTTGATTCAGTTTCCCCCCAACAGCTGCAAGCTATGGTTTTTGTGGATCGGCCGTTTGGGGCAGCTTGCAGGGAGGGTTCTGGAGGGTTCCAGCGTGTTCCGTGGGGATACCACCAGGGCTTATGTTACGTGCGCGCATACCTTTTCATGGTTGCCAATTTGCTGACGGTGCGCTTATGTCATTTCACGTGATTTGACAAGAATCTGGCGACCTTTCGGTTTCCTTCGAGACATACCCGGCTGAGCTTCCCCCCCCCCCCCCCTCCGCCCCCGGACACTTTCCGCCCCGCCCCCCCACCCCCCCCAGGCCGCACGGCCCAAGTCGTCGGGAAGCCCAGCAAGGAGTTCTTCCACACTGCGGCGGCCCATGCGGCGTCGGCCTCGGCGGCGAGCGGAATGGACCCCGCGGAGTTCGTGATGGTAGGAGAGAAGTGTTGGCGTCTTTTTCCCGGTTCTTTTCACGGTCACGGTGAGGAAAAAAACGACGAGTCCACTGGATTTCGTGTTTTTGGGTGTTTTCTGTTTCACGGTCACGGTGACCAAGAACGAGCCCACTCTGTAGAATTTGCTTTGTGTGCTTTTCAACTTTGATTTTCTTTTCGGGTGTTTCGTCCGGGTAAGGGTGAAAACACAACAGGTCCACTGTGGAGAAGACAAAACATGACCAAGGGCTGATGTTGGGTGGCAAGACATGCCATGGTTGGGGGGTAATTATTTGCTTGGCTGGGATTTGGTTTGGAGGATGCAAGGGTCTGAGCTTCGTTTCAGCATCAGAGAGGCTTTTTTGAGAGACGAAGCTGGCCGCCCGTCTCTCTCACGCATTCTTTCCGGCGTCACCTTGCGCAGGAGACGATGCTCTGGATGATGTGCAAGGCATCGTCTGCTTTCTACAGCTGCAGCCAGTTCCAAAACAAACGGGAGGGCTGAAAGATCAGACAATGGGTGCATTTGCAAGGACCATAGCATGTGGGAGTAGCAGTCCGCTGCCCGATCGGGCTCGCACGACTTGTCGAAAGAGAGACTGCACATCTGGTGAGGCGCCATGGACGCGGGGATGCAGGCCATTTTGGTGCGCACAGGCCGGGGATGTCCGACAGAGCAAACATCTTTGCAGTGAGGTCTGAGGTTCGAAAGGAAACCAACCATGGAACCATCCATTTGGATGCATCCCTATGGCTTGCTCGGGTGCCTTGTGATTCTTTGCCTTCTGCAGCACGGCCTCCCTCCAACTTCAACAAGAAGCCTTGCTTTGCACCACTTCGCGTTGACCAAAACAAAACACCCGCGGCGCCCCCCCCTCCCCCCCCGACAGCCACCGCCGTAGGCAAGTACCGGCCGGGGGACGAGCTGAAATGCCGCAGCCCGCCCCTGGCGGTGGTGGACAGCGGCTCGTCCGCGAGATCTTCCGCGCGTTTTGTTTTTTGCATGGGGCAAATGGGTACCTTGGTGGCTCCCAGCCGTTCCCTTAGCCTTTTTGCCTTTTAGTGTTTAGTGGTAGTTTCACTTTAACCCACTAAAAGTTAAACTTTTAGCGGGGGATCTGAGGGCAGCCCAGGCACGTGTCGTCTGAGCCAGTTTGGAGTTATGTCACATGTCTGAAAGCAGCTAGCAGCAGCTAGCAGCTATAGTCATAAGTGCCCCTGAGGCGGCTTCTTTGGGGTGTACCCTGTTTTGGTGGTTGGTTTGAGGGGAAAAAGCGATGGACGCCAGCCATTTCTAGGATTCGGTGGCTTTCCTTTTGGGTTTATTTTTCAAGCAACCCGAAGAGGGTACCGAGCTTCAAATTTGTCCAACCACACGCCCGAATCTGTTCTGGCCAAATTGCAACGGCCTGGGTCCGGGTGGAAGAAGCCCGCCTATGTCGGCCGCCAATCGAGGCCTGCAGGACGCGGTGACCTTTTTGGAGGACCACGGCTTGCTGAGCTCCGAGTGAAGGGCGACTTCGCCGGCGGCGAATTCGCCCCGCGAATTCGCGGGCTGCTTGGAGTGGCCCGGCGAGAGAGAGGCGCTGTTTGTAGGGGGTTCTTGGCAAGTCTTTCGGATGGTTGGGGGACGTTCCCCTTGGTTGAAGTCTCAACCAATGCAGCCCTCTTAGACTTCTTAGACCAAGGCTTTTTCGAAAAAACAAACATAGAACCTGAAAGGGGGGCCGCCGGAAAATGGAGCATGCGTCCTTGATTCCATGTTCGCTTGAGTCGAACTTAAAGGGGTTTAAGAACGGGGCCCGGAGGAAATCATAGGAACACACGAAGGCACCGCCCCCGCATTTTCTGGTGGAGTCGGCCCCAAACTCCCGCGGCTGCCGTATCCGAGAACCCAGCTCTCCCTGGCCAAAAAGGTCCGAGAGCGCAGGGAAAGAAGGTAAGTTATGCTTCCATTTGCTTAATATGTGTTAGTTTCCCCTGTTGGTTGTTAAAGGGGATTCTATCATTACTGGAAATAGTTTTTTCTTTTTTTCCAGGGGGGGCTTAAGCAAATGGAAGTATGAGGTTGTGTCTTTTAAGGGCCTTATGGGGCTGGTTCAAAGGGAAAACCTAAAGGAACTTCTTCGTTTCGGGCCTATTTTGACACACACACACACCCCTATCTAGCTGGTCATGAGCAGGATGTACCCAATGGATCAAGCTACGAACAACTCCGAGCCAAAGTTCTGGAGGCTTCGATCGGGTTCTGATCGTATGCGTGACTTCGAAACTTCCTCACCAAGCAGTTGTTCCGACTGGTTGAACGCAGAGTTCCTTTGCAATAGGAACCCTTCAGGAACGCAGAGGAACCGGCTGTGCCCAGAAGAATTGGCCAGAAGAATTGTCCAGGTCCGGTCAGCTTCGGCCAAGTTGAAGGGTTGTTTTGGGCACCGATGTTTGGTCGCGCTGGGAGCTTCGGACAGGCCAACTTAGACTTACCTCTTAAAAAAACACAGCTTTTCTCAACTTTGTGGGTAACATGGGCTATATGTCTGTAAAAGATTAACTACATTAACTTCCCCAGGGCTTAGGGAGTTTTAAGGGGTAAGTAGAGGTGAGGGAACCACCTGGCTGATCCGTCGCATGGGCCTGACGCGGCCTCGGTGTGAGAGGTGGCCTTCGGTGTGAAACCTTCCAGCGGTCTCCGGTGCTTTCCCAGGGTCCCCCAGTCATTAGCGCCCTTTCTCACCCCTTTCTTTTTCGGGGGAGGGTTCCCCTACTAAAATAGACTACCAGAAGAAAAAAAAAGGAAAAAAAAAAGCGGTGGGTACCAACTTATTCTATAGCCTCTCAAATCTGGAGGACCTAAAAGCTAGCTCGGGAGGGGATGGGAAGCACCACTTCGGGGCCCCAGAGCTTGGAGCTGCACCGCTGCATCGGCGCGCTAGGACCTGCAGAGCTACCTGGGGGACTTCCTGGGCTACGGGCAGCTGGAAATCAGGCCAGGTCAAGTGGGCGCTTCCTTTTCGAGGGGGGCCCCCAGCCAAAAGACTGGGACTGGGTCTCAAATTCGCCAAAAGAAAAAACACCGTCCGTTCCTTCCAACGTGATGCCGTTTTTTTGTTTTTTTTTCTCCCCCCGGCTGTCATGGTGGATGTGGTCATTGTCGGCTGAGGTCTAAATGCCCACGAACAATGGTTTCCATGGTTTCAGAGTATTGCAGGATTTCGTCCATCCACAGTATGTGTAGCTGTGTTTGCTTCTTCGTTTGTATGTCCAGTCCGGTTGCTCCTGCTTCGCTGTCTAAAGCACCAACGCTAGACTTGGGACCCACGCGAAGCGGCTTCGACTGCCGCTACTTCCCCGCGTTTTTTCCCCCGCATGCAACACACAAAACCTTGACTTGTCAAGGAATCTCGTGGGGGGACCCGTTTGGTGGTTGCCTGTCGCAGTTGGGTGAAAGTAGATGGCACCAATCCCCCATTTGGTTTGAATCACCCCCCCTTACCAAAGCAAAGGACACATTCTCACCCTGGTGTAGTTTGAAGGGCGAATCACATAATGCCTTTTTGGCACTGGCGCCAGCCACGTGAATGGATCTGCTGCAAGTCTCGGGATTTCATCTGCTGCGTTTGGTAGAGGGGATATTCAGACTGGCCCAGAAGTATCCGTAAAGGGACTCCCAGAGGAATCATCCTTCCAGGGATTCCTAGGTGGTGCAGGATTTTGTCCATCCACAGTCCCTGCACCTGCACGTTCACCTACGCCTACCCCTACACCTACACGCACGCCTACACGCAACGCCTACGCCTACACCACACGCACACAGTGCGTGTGTCGCACACACTGCCAGGGACTTCTTCGATGAGTACAAGAATGATGTCCACCACCCAGCTCGAGACTGACCAACACGCAGCATATACCTCCCTCGCGGAAATAACATATGGCCTGCATTTCATCTGGCTATGTTGTCGAAGCGACGTCACCGATTCGGGGGTAAAACGAGCTCAGCACAATCCCTGCTTCATGTTTTGAAACTACAACATCTGCAGATTTAATTGGCCACCAGTCATAGTTCAATTGATGGCTAATGCAAATTCAGCCTGGTGTCATGTCTCCTTAAGTTAGGGTTTCTATTCCCTTGCTGGCTTTCATAGCCCTTTGTACCATGTGTATACCCCCTCTTTTTCAACCGCAAGAAGTCCGGCGAGCTTTCGCGCGCCCATTCTTGTCCTGATCTGGTCCTCGTCGACGGTCGGAGGCTGGAAAGGTGGACTTGGCCGGCCTGCAGAAAGGCCGGCGCTCCGATCATAGGGGTAAAACGAGGTACCTCCCTCGATTGGTTGAATGCGGATGGGGTCAGACTTTGCAACTTAGAAATGCGCCACACACGAAATGGCTCATAGAGCAAAGTTCCTCTTTCTTGCCCCTGAGGGCCCTGTGCCATGTGTTGTTCAAGTGATCTTCCTTGGGAAAAGGAGGGTGCCAGTAGAAACGATTCCCACTTGTTCGAAGCCTTGAAGCCTGGCACTGCCAGGCTTCGCGAGCCGCGGTCTTAGACCAACCACGTGGGAGTGTATCTCTGAGTGTGTGTGTGTGTGTGTGTGGTGTCTGTGTGTCTGTGTGGCTAAGTGGGTCGAATCGCTCTCGCTGTGGCGCGGCTCACATTTTGAGATTGCAAAGGAGCCCTCTGCGCACTTTGGGTGTGGGTGTTTTCGTCTTGTTTCGTTTCGTTTTCCAGCTGTTCGGATTCAGTTGCTTTGTTTAATGTGAGAAGGAACGCCAGCAGCTTGGGGTCACTTCGATTGACACATCGGTTTCCACCTTTCGGGTTGAATGCTGGCAGTTACCCTTTGGGTGCCCTTGGTCCCAGCACAGTTGTTGTCCCAGGTGGCAAAAAAATCGAGCGAGCATCGGCTATGAAACCGCGAATGGTTTCGGGTACCAGGGAGCTTTCCATAGGGCAAGGTGGGCAACGGCAGCGGCAACCAGGCGATTTATTTATTTTAAAAAAAAAATCTCGGACGAGGCGTGTCCTTTTCTGGCACCCCTTTTGGTTGGGCTGCAGGGAGACCAGACCAAAAGGAAGCCGCTGTCCTTTGCAAAACAACCAGCAAGCAACGAACACAATCACCAACTAGCAAAAACAGTTAACAAGCAAACAAAGCACAAAGCGACAAATGGACATGAAATATGGAAAGGAAAATGGACAGCAAATGGAATGGGAAGGAAATGGAAATCATATGGAGAGGGGATGGAAAGGAAATGGAGAGAGAGGAGAGAGAACAAGAAGGAAATTGAAAGGATATGAAAAGGACATGGAAAGGAATTATGGAAAGGAAATGGAGAGGGAATGGAAAGGAAGCGGGTTGCCACACCGTCCAGCAAGGAAATGAAAAAGAAATGGAAAGGACATTGAAAGGAAAGAGAAAAGACATGGGAACCATGTCCTCTCTATTTCCTTTCCATTTCCTTTCCGTTTCCTGATCATGTCCTTTCCATGTCCTTTTCATTTCCTTTCCATTCCCGCTTATCTCCTTTTCATCTCCTTTTGATTTCCTTCCCCTGGGTTTTCCATTGCCTTTCCATTCCCTTTTCATGTCCTTTCCGTTTCCTTTCCATTTCCTGTCCATTTCCATATCATGTCCTTTCCATGTCCTTTCCATTCTTTCCATTTCCTTTCAATTTCTATTCCGTTTCCTTTCCATGTCCTTTCCATTTTTTTCCAATTTCCGCTCCATGTCCTCTCAATGTCCTTTCCGTTCCTTTCCATTCCCTTTCTATTTCATGTCCATTTCCTTGCTTTTTGCTTTCCTCATTCTTTTCATTCGAGTTAGTCGTAGATGGTTGTTTTTCGTTGTGGTTGTGGGCTGGAATAGTGTTTTTTCCCCGCGCGGTTTCAGCGTCTCGTCCTTTCCGGGTAGGGGTGCCATACCTTGACACCACCCCATGCGCTCAACTGGCGCGCCACTTGCGCACGCGAAGGCTCTGAGGCTTGGAGAGGACGTCTTTCCAAAGCCTACACCCAAACAGGACTTCCTCAAAGCGTGAGCTAGCGTATGATGCCAAGACACCGACCCCCCTGGAGCACCCTTCGTTACCTAAATTTCTGCCCTTAGCCCAAACGTGTTGCAAAACCAGGGGTCGTCACCAAAATATGGTAAACGTACACTTTTTTCTGCTTCGAGCGTTTTTCCCAAAACCGGGCTGGTCGGTCCTCCAAGATGATCTTTCGTTGAATTTTCGAAAGGAGCGAGCAGAAATCAAAGTGCAAAACGAGCGCAAATATCCGCAAAACGAGCGCAAATATCCGCAAACGAGTGCAAATTTAAAAACCGTAACAATGCCCGCCTTCCTCTGGATGGAAGAAGGGGATTTGGTCGAGCGTTTTTCGGGGGGCGAGCGTTTTTTGGGGGTCGAGCAGAAATCGGTAATTCGAGCATTTTTTTCTCGTACCTAAAAAAAAGGGCACGTTGGGTGCCTCGGGCCCAAAAAAGAGAAGAAGGCATTTTCAGAATCTGGAATTCTCAACAAAAGTCAAATGTGTGTGGAGTAGGGTTGCTCACCCGGAGCGGCCTGAGAATATTGTTTGCATGCACGGAGTGTGCCTGTCGGGCAGGCCCGGGCTAGGACATGTCAAGGACTGCGCCAAGTGGTTGACGTGACCCCAGCCGACTGTTGTCAGTTAGTTGTTTTGCGTGGGTTGTTTTTGAGACCCTTTATAATTCGTATAAGTGACATTTTTCCTTTGTCCTCCTTTTTGGGGGGAGTTGCTTTTCTTCTTGTTTTTCTTTTGAACGGGGGCCCACTGAAAGGGCGGGTTTCTCCCGTTGGTTTCCCTTGAAAATTTGAGGCCGCCGACGTCTGCGTTTTTTTTCTCGCCGAGGCCTGAACCCTTACCTTATCTGCAAGCAAAAGGGTCGCACCATCTGGCGCAAGCCTGGGGCTGCGGGAGGCCCAGCTTGCACTGAAGGGATTCGAGCTTCCATTTGGTGAAATGAATATTTTTTCCCCTGTTGGTTTTAGAGATGGAATTTTGGTGAAGAAGATTTCGCATTTTCCCCTGCAGGCGGTGGTATAGGGTAGCGGTTAGTTGCTCGGACAGCATAAGGCCTGGTCGCACCACCCAAGTTGGGCGGGTTCAAACCAGGTACCACCGGGACCGCGCCAGCCGTCCCGTGGAAACCTTAAAACCGTGCGACTGTATTTTCCCCTGTTGGTTTTAGAGATGGAATCGATCTCTCTACTGGACATATGTTTTCATTTTTTCCAGGGGACTTAAGCAAATGGAGAGGAGGGGTAGCCTCAAAAAACATGACACTGCCAAATGGGCACTAGCAGCTCACTAGCATTGAAGCATTTGGCCTTGTTAAAAGCTAGGTAGTGGAAAGGGAGCGAGCCGTTACAGAGCTGGGGGGGGTATGGAGCTGGGGTATCCTTAGATTTGGAATGCTCTTGTTCTGCAAGAACATGGTGAGGCTGGAGTTCTGAGAGCTCATTCGAAGAGTTCTTCAGTGCCAGCTGCTCTTTCCTTTTATGTTCCGTTTGTTTTTGCTGAAAGAATGTAGATGTCATTCCCCCCTCCCCCGCCCAAGTTTTGAAGGGAATCAATCTACCACTAAAGATAGACGTTTCGCATTGTTTCCCCAGGGGAGGTATCCGCATAAAGGTGTTCGTTCCGCGTTTCGCGGATGCCCTAGACGGGCTTGGGGTGTCAGGTCTGTGCACCTGGTAGCCAGATGAATCTGGAGGAGCAAATCCGTTTTGGCCTCTTCGACAAAGGGGTGGCTCAGAGTCAGTCGAAGGACTGCTTGGTGCTATGGTGGATGGACCAAATCCGTTCGCACCACGAAATGAAGCCATGCGGAAACCATGGTTTGTTGGTATTCTTACAGTGGAATCGAATCATTCCAGGGTTTCTTAGGTGGTGCAGGATTTTGTCCATCCGCAGTAGCACCGCTAGGGTGGCACAGTCGTGCTAGTTCAAGTAACCCCTATAGACCCCTAGCTGGTGGCTTGGATCGGTGGTGGTAGATGAAGATTTGAACCCCCTAATTTGTGGCTTGGATTGGTGGTATTTAAACTCCTGGTTCTTCTGGAGGGCAAATGAACCGCCCCCCCAATCCAAATCAGCAATGTCAAGTGCTCCGTTTTCTGGTGGATTTGGAAATGAAAGCAGGAGACCAGGTAGTTGCAAATGTGTGTTGTCCTGGCTTCGTTCTGACTTGCTTGCCCAAAGCTCGCCTCGTCACGTTCTTGGGCTTGCCAAATCTAGCAAGCGTGTTCTTAAAATTGGGGCCCGGTGACTGGTAAGCACTATCAATCAGTGCCTTTGCCAAGATTTCTAGCAAGGGGTGTTTCTTTTGGTTTCCCTTTCAACCATCCCTGCAAAGGGAGCAACAACCAACTCCATTTCAACCCCAAAGGTGGTGAACGTTGACTTCTTCGGCCTTTTCCCGGCAGCCCAGGGGGTTTTCCTTTTGAATGAGAAATGAGAGCCTTGGAAACAATGGAGTCTTTGGTGCATTTTGCCAAGGGATGTTAGGACTTTAACTTTTTGCCAACTCGTGGGTTTTTCGTATTAAACCACTAAAAGTTAAACTTTCGGCAGGGGAGCAGAAAGCAACCAAGGAGTCCACCCAAAGCAATCCCTAAAGCCTCCGTTTTGGACCCTAAAGCCCACGTCTTCCTGTCTTTTTCGCAGAAGATGGCTGTGGCTCAAAACCAATGGGATCCCATTTTGGTTGGTAGGCTCTATTTTAGTGGTTGGATTGAATCGGATGTTCACTGGGGCTAACCGTTTTGGATTTTGGCCCATCAGATGGGTTCTGTAAAGTTGACCCCGGACTGATAAACCCCTGGTTGATTAATATGGGGGGGTCCCCGGTTTTGTGGGGATTCATCACTTTTGCAGGGAACGCCCCCCTAATAATGGGACGGGTTTCTTCATCCGGGGTCAACTTTACAGTCCTTGGCTCGTCCATGGCCACTGTGAGGACCTGGTGGACTGCAAGGTCTACATCTGCGACAAGACGGAGCAGGCCTTCGCGGACGAATGCCGCGGCCCGAAGACTCCGAAGAATCCGAAGAAGAGGACAGAAACATGTGTAGGGTTTGGGAGGTTGGGGAGTTTGGGGGGTTTGGGGGGTTTGGGGGGTTTGGGGGGTTTGGGGGGGGGGGAAGAAGTGCGGGTCGGCTAGGTGTTTTTTTCAGCTAAAACATGGCTGCGGTCAAAATGAAACCACCCAGGGACCGCAGGATTGTTCTTGTTGTTTCCAGTTACCAAGGTTCCATGTTGGGTACCTGTTTCTGACCCACACCCACATATCTAGGGTTTGGGGGGTTGGGGAGGTTGGTCAAAAAGCGCAAAAGTCGGCTGGGTGGGGTGATTTCAGCTCGAAGTGGCGAGGTGTTTTGTGCGTGGCGGGCCCGCCTTGACTCGGGTTTCAACGCCGAGCCTTTTTCCCGTCCGAGACGCGTTTTCTTCTCGGCGCGATGTGGTGATAACTTTTGCAATGAAACCAATTAAACTACTGTGGATGGTTGCGAAATCCGTTCGCACCACTTTGAAACCATGAGAAACCATTGTTCCATCCACAGTAGGTCCCCCAGTAGTGCCCTTTCTCACCCCTTTTTTGGGGGAGGGTTCCTCTACTAAAATAAACTACATTTAAACAAAAAGGGTACCCTTATTCCTAGTAAACTGAAACCAGCGAGGGCAACAAGGCCTGCAACCGCTGACTGCATGCCAACCATTTTGAGCTGGTGCTGTGGATGGACGAAATGCTGCACCACCTAATTGAGAAGCCCTGGAATGATTCAATGCCAACAATGGTTTCCCATTGTTTCAAAGTGCGAACGGATTTCGCTATTTGGGACAGGGATGGCGACAAGTCGGGGCCTTTGAATCTTGTCGAAGCCAGCGAGTTGAACAGATTGAATGGCACGTTCAAGATGTCAAGGACTGGGAGTCAGAGATTGACAACTCGAAGAGGGCATATGCCACATGCTCTTGGGTCATGTACCCCTTAGATGGTGGTTTGGGTTGGTTTGAGGATTTGAACCGTCCGTTTTGAAACTTGCCAAGACAAGCAGTAAAGTGATTGGGGGCAGTGTCGCCCAGTACTCCCTGGAAAGCCGGAAAGCCGTGTTTTTGTTTTTTTTTTGGACGGAACCCGTATTTGGATCATTTTTCACGTATGGTCATTTTTTGCTGGCCGGTGGCCGTATTTGGCCATATGCAACCCGTATTTTTTCAACAACTTGTTGACAAACAGCCGTGAATAACCGTATGGTCCTTTTTTTGTGGTCCAAGCCGTATGGACAGAAACAAAAAAAAAAAGGCACATATGGGCTTCCAGGTCCTCCAAATGTTCCCCCTAAACATGGTTGTTGTTGGGAAACATCTTACATTTTGCTTATTGTGGTTTAGTGGTTGAAATCTCACTTACCTGCTAAAATTTACATTTGTGCTCCCCTTCCAACGTCAACCTAGTAAATTGCGGTTCTTGCTCCACCCCCCCGCCCACTGCCGAGGCTTGGGCTGTGAGGTGGTCATCGGGGCCTGCAACGGGCCCACCATGGTGCCGCGACCGCGGGGTGTTTTGGGTGCCTCTCAAAACTTGGAATCAACCCAGGGAGTCCCTCTAAAGGAAACCACCCGTTGGATGATCCAAAGTTGCTTCCCCGGAAATTTTTTGGACTCGCTCCCTTTAAGGGAACCCCAAATTTTCATTTTCGGCTGGAAGGAAACCACCAAGAAAAAGCCCGCCCATTTTCTGGGCCGCCCTCAGATCCCCCGCTAAAAGTGAATAACTGTTAGCGGGTTAAATACGGAAACTACCTCACTAAACACTAAAAGGCCAAAAAGCTAAAAAGCCAAGGAACCGGATGGCTGCGAGCCACCCAGAGAAATGGAATGCTTTTTTTGGCAGGGAGGCCCACTTCAGGGCGCTCATTTTGAGACACACCTAGGAGTCGGTGATCCAAACGGCATGTGTCACATAGCACCATGGTCTCGGGACAAAGAAAACGTGAGCGGTTAGCAGGGGGCCTCTAAGGGAGCCTTTCGGAGCCACCAGGAATGGAAGAAGTCTCAGCCCCCAGCGACTCCAGAGGAAAAAAGAGAGAGTCAAAAACCACCCCCAACGTGTTCTTCGTCAAAATTCCGGAAGAAAAAACGCAGCCCATGTCCATAGTTTCCCAAGTCCCCGTCCAAAAGAGGCGGCTTGCTGGGGTGCTGGTTTTCTCTGGAGCTTCACCCGAAAACCGCCGCGGGGGGGCAACCCAACAGCTCCGTTCGTGTTTCCAAGGTGCGGGACTGCAAGGACTGCACCTTCTGGTTGGCCACTAGGCCGGCGGTTCAGGTGTTCGGATCGTTGCCCCCGTCCTGTTGACAGGGTTCCCACCTAGGTCCCCCAGCTAGGTGCCGTTTTGACCAACTTTTTTGGGGGAGGGTTCCCCCACGAAATAAGAGTACAGAGAAAATGGTACCAACTTATTCTAACCTCTCTAACCGGAGGACCTAGCCATGAAAATGGGATGCCCTCCCAAACATCAACCAGGCATTGATAAATGCAAGGGGGGGGGGTGGGAGTCCTGGATGTCTCAAAATCGTACTGTGGATCGACAACATCTGCCTCGCACCACTTGGTAGGTGGTTCATGCGATTATTTACAGGGTTTTATCCATAAAAGGTGGCGCGTCCATCCACAGGTGGGCAATAAACCCATCAACCCATGCTTTTTTTAGGGGGGTGGGGCCTCTAAAAAAAAAGGATGAATCCCCACTAAACCCAGGGACACCCTAATAAAACGGGAGTACGGCAGAACCCTCGAAATGGTGGAAAAGCTCCCCCCCTTTTGGGACACCAAAAGGACAATTCTCTGCATTTTTGGGCGACCGCTTTGAGAAAAAGTGCTGTGACAACAAGCGTGTGTCTTGTTTGGGGAACCCAACATTTTGGTTGGCTCTCTCAGCAATTGTGGGGGCCAGTTCGGAGACAAAGCCATGACTTTTTTCGGGCGCAACCTCCATTTACCCAGCGGCGGTCATTTTCTTGGAGGCTGGGGACGGGCGCATGGAAACAGGGCACGCACAATGGGTTCAACCGCAAGAATGACTTCCTCTTGGAAACGCATTTTGGCTGTGGCTCAACAAACATATATGTATTTGGCTCAAAAAAAGAAAAGAAGTGGTGCCCACCTTTTTGACTTTTTGAAAACCACTTGGAAACAAAAACTAAGACCTGCGTAACCCCAGCTCTTGAACTTTGAGCCACAGCCACGTGGTGCTTTTTGCGCGCGGGCCCTGTCCGTCGCGTCTGGACGCAGGCAGCTGCGCACGAGGGACTGCGTGGCACGGGCCTCGGACCACGGCGGTTTTGGAGGGGATGTGAGCCGGTTACAGGAGCCCAGTTGCCCAGTGGTGCCCACTTGTTTCCATTTTTTCTTGTTTTGGGGAAGGGTTCCCCCTTTCAAGTCAACCAACCAAGAAAAGGATGCTCACTTTTTTTTCCAGTGGTTCCTGGGCATCTGAGTGAGGCTAGAAGCAGTTGGGAGTTGGTCTCCAAATGCCGCTGCAAAAGGATGTCCCTTTCGCTCCACCCAAAACCTGCGAGTGTTGGAGGGTCACACCTCGCTGGCCAGAAGAGAGGCGCACGGCGCCCCCCCTGGCCTCGACGCCCGCCTAGAGGGAAGAAGCAAGACACCCAGTTGTTGAGGCTGGAAAATTCCAAAGAGAAGTCGACTCCTTACCCCTCCAATGAGGGGTTATGGTTTGGACAATTTTCTGACCACTTGCTCAGATCTTGTCTATGCCTTATTTTCTGGTGCTCCACATCCAGCCTGACAGAGGCACGTGTACTAGCAGCTCAGAATCACGACCCTGGCAAGTCACGCGCCTCCCCCAGCAAAAAAAAACACATACCCCCCCGCTCCAAAAAAAAAATGACGGGCAAGCAAACAAGTCGGCAAGCTGATTCTCCCATCGAAAGTTACAGAAGGACCCTTGCCGAACACTTGGGTGTGAGTTTGATCAGGGACTCTTTGGTGGACATAGCCACCTTTTGCCCAAGTTTTGCCCAAGAGGCATCACCTACATGTCATTCAGCGGGGAGGGGATATGTTTTTTTACAACAAGGACCCATAGGCTCATAGCGTTGCATTTTTAGCCAGCAATCTGCAGAATCTGCTTCACAGAGGAGACCCGGGCAAGCGCACTTAGTGGCGACACATGACAAGAATCTGTTCATAGGTAAGGCTTGCAGCCCGAAGTAGGTGTCGCACAGTGGGCCAGCTGTTTTCTCACATTTCCCCAGAGAACAAACAACTCAAAACCACTGCCTCATTTCGGCTCCACCTAGCATCCTACTCCCTAAATTTCAGCGGCTTTGCACCCCTGGATGCTTACCAAGCCACCGAGCCACCGAGCGACCAAGCCACCGAGAACTGCAAGTTCTTCCTCCACAGCCACACGGAGCCCATCATCGAGAGCTCTCGGGAGCCGGATGAAACGATCCGATCGATCCGATCTCGATCGCGAGAACGAAACAGCTGGGGCCCGGTCCAATTCTTCTTGCTGGTGCTTTTTAGGCAGGGAATCAGGGAATGACCCCCAAAAAGACCATCCCCTAGGGTTTCCTAGGGAATCCCCTGGTTCATTCCCTCATTCCCTGCCTATCGCGCCAGGGGGCTTTGGACGGTTTCAGAGCGAGTCACCCGAGCGTCAGCAAGTCCCAAAGCCCGCGGAAGCTCAAGGCAGCTCGGGATGCCCAGGTGGGTGTGGCCCCTTTTTTGAGGTGGCGCCCCTTTCTTGTGGGTTTGGAAAGGGAAGCCAAAAAGGTGAGAGCGAAACCACAAGGTGAGAACCGAGGCCATTGGGAGCTGCTAAGCCCAGGACCTGCTTTTTTTTTGGTGGTTGTAAAAGGAGACACCAAAAGTTCGAGTTGAACACCGAAGCCGTTTTGGGGGGGGGGGGGGGCCACAAAGACCACATGTGAGGACCTGGGTTTCGCTCCCTTCACAGTCGGGGCCCCGGGGTGCCAAGATTGACAAGGACAGGGATCAACGAGTCGAGACGGATTTTCCGATCGGTGTTTCAGCACCCACTTGGAATTTGCCTATTTGGTGTTGTTGTTTTTCCCCCAGATAGCTGAAGGCTATCGAGGTTCTACCGTCTCAAAAGCGGGCAAGTGATTTGCGAGATTGATGGGCTAGTGCTAGGGAGCGTGCAGTTGCTGGTGTAGTGCTGTTTTGGGGTGCTTTTTGGGGTGCCGGTGAGATTGACGGTTGGGCATGCCGGTGATGGGCGCACTTTTGCGAGATCGACGGTAGGGTGCTGTTTGGGGCGCTCTTCGGGGGGTGCTGTTGGAGGTGCTGATGTACAAACGCTGGCATGTTTTTCGTTAGCTGGGGTCTATACTGTTGTATTCATATGTGTTTGTCTTCTATTTGCCCAATCCAAACCACACAATTGCTCCGCCAGGGGAGCACAAACAGTAGTCAAGAATTAAACCTGCGCCGTTGAATGCAGGACAAACGATGCCCCTTGATTTCAGGTCAAAGTGCCACTTGATGAAGCCGCAACCCTTAGAAAACCAAATTATCAGACCAAACCCGGGGCTCAAAAAGATTCCGCCAACACCTCCACACAAAGACATTATTGTGGATAAATGGGTGTGCCTTTGTTCGAGGTGTCTCTTTTTTGGTTGGTTTTGCAAGGGAACAAAAAGGAACGCCGAAGCCATTTCGGGAGTACTAAAGAAAGGCGACTCAAAAAGGCACTCCGGAGGCCAAGCAGCGCCGCGAAAACGCCGCGGCAACTCCCAGGTCTCTTACCCTTCGGTGGCCCGGCACGTGGAGGAGTCGGGTATGGACCCGGGTGCGCCGGCCGCTTCCCCTGCGTTGGACCAGGTTTGCAGCCACCAGACCCCGGAACCCGCGAAATGTATGGGGAAAGGGGTGGCTGCAGCTGGAAAGCCGGGGCAAACTGATCATTGGAACCATCAATTGAGCCACAATCAAAACCGGGGTAGATGAAGGCTAGTAAGGGGCAGTCCCAGCCGGAAATAGCTGCGGAAATCCGCCTTTCTAATTCTTGAAGCATGGTTCTGGGTTCACCATTTCTGTGCCAGGTTTTGATTGTGACTCAATTGCCATAAACTAGCCGCCGGAAACGGAGCGGGGGGCCTGGGCTCTGGTTCCCGGGAACCACATTTCGACGCATGTTAGGGGCGGGCTCGCAAGAGCCTGCGGGCTTTGGCTTGGGTGTGTGTCTCAAAATGGGGACCCCGAGAAACAACATCAATGGGCTTCTCTTTCCTCTAGAAAACGGTTTTGATGCGGTTCCGCCTGTAGGCTCGTTTTAGTAATTTTAGTACGTTTTAATATCCAACGGGGGTGGTTTCACAAAAGCCACATCCAAACCGTTTTTTAGACTCCCGAACCCTCAACTCTTCCGCAGCCAGCGCTTTGTGCCTCAAGCCCCTTCCAACTCAACGCTCGGTCCAGAACCATGGCCCACCGCCTTGCGACGATCCAGCGCCAGGCCACGTTCCGAAATCGGATTGGCCGTTGGGGAGGAACAGCTCGCCCGCAAGCGGGAGGGGCATGTTCTCTTCATGCTTGTTGTTGGGAACATTTTACATTTTTGCTTGTTGTAGTTTAGTGGGAAATCCCCATTTTGGGGTTGATTCCTTGTCCATTTTTTCAGCCATCGTTCTTTTCAAAAGCCGATCGCCAGGGTTTTTTTGGTGGTTGCCTAGAAAGGAGGATCCCGGGAAAGAATGCAAAAGTCAGGTTTTCCGGCTTTGGGTTTTGGATGGTTCTTGGATGGTTCTTGGATATTTGGGCAGAAGACCAAGGTGAGAAAGCGGAACATGGGCCAGCGAGTTCCCAGTTTTCCACCAAAAAAAACATCGCCTGCAAGGACACACGCCGAAAATGACCACCCCCTATCAATAAACCCCCATTTATTGTTTTGGGGGTGTCCCTGTTTTTAGTGGGGATTGTTCACTTTTGGAGGGGAACACCCCCATTAATAACCTGGGGTTGATTGAAAAGGGGGTCAGCACTAAAACAAGTGATGTTCAAATCCACCAAGAGGCAAAAAGCCGCCTTGAAACCTTCTGGGTTGCGCTTCGGCATCTCGCAGATCCTGGCCGGCGATGCCGCGACCAGTGGCGGCGTGGAGATGCGCGGTGTGTCGTCGGAGGATGCCGACTTCGAGCGCCGAGTGCAGGAGATGAAGACCTGGATGAGCGCGAAGCCCAGAAAGAAGTGAAGTCGGTCATTTTGCTGTGGGTCAAAACCAATGGTATCAGTTTGGGGTAGGTGCACCACCCATTTTAGAACCTACTTTAGTGGGGATTAGGATGTTCACTCGGGGTACGGAAATTTGACCCATGGCCGTTAAAATGTGCAACAAGGCTAGGACCCCCGGCAGTGCCCTTTCTCACCCCCTTTTTGGGGGAGGGTTCGCCTACTAAAATAGGGTTGTAGTCTACTAAAATAGACTACAAGAAAAGGGGTAAGCTCTCTAATGGAGGACCTAGAAGGGCACAAGCCTTGCCCCACGCTCATTTGCGGTGGCATGCAAATAGAAAACCCGTTCTGAGAAGTTGCATGGGTCACTTGGCCTAAGCGGCCACTCAAAGTCCTGATCCCTGTTGCGATCTGGGAAGGAGCTCACAGCTCAAAAATGGATGGTGGACAGACATGTGGGTTTGGCTCAAAATTTAAGAGCCATGGGACCACAGGTTTCAGTCTGCTTGTCCATTTGCCGGGGTTCCATTTTGGGCACCTGTTTGTTGAGCCACCCTTTTGGCCACTCATTCGGTAGATTTTATACCTATCTCCGGGTCAAAATGAGGCAGCGACCGCTTTAAGCACACCACTCGGCCCTACAAGGTTGAGGACGGGCTTTTGCGTTTAGACCTTCGTTCCTGCAGTGCCTCCTGCCGGTTTTTTTTGGCGGCTCGACGAAAACAAATTCTGCAAACTGTGGAGGCTAGAAGGCTTCTGGGTCCACCATATGAGAAGCCTGGCCATGTGGTGGACAGTTGCTTGGGCGTGAGTGGGTCTGGGTTAGGATAGACTCTGTCCTCCCCAAAGACCTGAAGGGGTAGCGGGGAGCATCCCGGAAACCCACACAAATTTGTCTTTTCTTGGAGTTGAAGCCTTTTGCTCAAAGAAGGGAGACAAGCCCGGACAGTCGCAGGACGTGGTGAAGCTGCAAGGCGCTTGCTTCCAAAAGGGCCGCGTCTGTGCGTTTGCCTTTGGTTGAGACGGGGCTATGTGTCCCTACGCTTTGGGAGATTCGGCGGTTGGGTGGGGGCCAAACATCTGGGAGGCAGAGGGGGGGGGGTTGGGAGTGGGGGGGTGCCAGGGGTTTGATCCACAGCCACATGCGTGTGCGGTGTTTTTGAGGCTGCCTGTTGTTCGGTTGTTCGGTGGTTTTGAGGTATCAAAGAGACTAAAGGGAACGCCACGAAACCTACAACACATGCACCCACACCATGCTGAGGCTGACCATGGTTGAAATGGCCGAGACAAGGGATGGGGGATTCCAGCGTATGGAGCCCAAAAGTTGATGGGAAAGTGGTCAAAAAATATGCACACACATTTCTCGAGGTACGGGTCAGAAACAGCCAAAACCCAACAAACACTTTTGGACCCCCCAAAAGGGCTGGCCTTATTCCTTGGGACACTGAATCAGGGAAACACCTGGTGAGGGTTCCTTTGGCAATCTCCAGGATTTAGCAGTGTCATTGGAACTTTCCTGTGCTTCCTGGTAGAAAGCCAACAGCCCTTATGGTTTCACCCCTGGTTTTCAACGTGGTTTTCGTCAGCCCACTCCATTCCGGAGCTTGCCTGGCCTCCAATCGAAGCCTCGCGTTCTCGGCGCGCTCGGATCAGGCACGTTCCCTCTGCAGTTCACAGGGGCCAAGGTCTCCGCACCTCGGCGAGCGACCGATTGGGGGCTCCGCATTCGGCGCAAGAAGGAGTTTGGATTTTGGAAAAAAAAAGTGGGTCTGCCCTCTTTGAGGCCCCCCCCCAAACATATATATATATATATATACACACATACATACATGTATAAGTGGCTCATGTTTTGGTTTCCCCCTAAGAAAATGAAAAGGGTGTTCTCGAAAAAAGAGGAAGACGAGGAAGGGAAAGAGGGGGGAAAATGAGGAAGATCAGCTGAATTGCTAAAATTTGAAAGTCTTGCAAGCCTTACAGCTCGGATCATCTTCTCTTCGCCTTTCTCCAAGACGCATGGAAGCCGACGCCGCCTGTTTTTCTGGTGAAGGCTCTAGAACGAGGAAGCCTCGGTCCAACGAAGTCGGCAAGCCGGGTCTTCGGAATACTCGCTTCGGGCAGACCGTTTTTTTGTTTTTCTTTTCGGGAGGGGGGGGGGGGGGGCGGGGGTATTGGCAAATTCACTTTGGCGTTCATGTTGATTTGTTTTGGTGTTCATTTTTTGGTGTTCATTGTTTTTGGTGTTCATTTTTTGGTGTTCAGTTTTTGGGTGTTCATTGTTTGGTGTTCATTGTTTGTTGTTCATCTTTCGGTGTTCATTTTTTGGTGTTCATTGTTTGGTGTTCATTTTTGGTGTTCATTTTTTAGTGTTCATTTTAGGGTGTTCTTTTTTGGGTGTTCATTGTTTGGTGTTCATATGTTTGTGTCCATTTTTTGGTGTTCATTTTTCCGTGTTCATGTTTGTGTTCATTTTTGCTTTTTGGTGTTCATTTGGTTCTTTTTGCTCTTCCATGAATAGGCGGTCCAGGAATCCAGGTTTTCACCACCCCCAAGCCGCTATTATCGGGAGAACAGGTATTATATACCGTTGGCTATATAGCGGTTTTCAGCCTGCTCGCCTTTGGGACCCGGTGGCTAGAACTCATTTTCGGCCCCACCCCCCCACCCACACCACCCACCCCAGCCTATTCACCCCCCAACCCCACCTCACACCCCATCCCCTGCCCCCCACATGCCTCCCCCCACCCCCCCAACCACCAACCGAGGACAAGTTGTACAAAATGCTGCGGGAGCACCAGGCCAAGGGCACCTGCTCCCACACCTTCGGGGCGCTGGACACCGTGCAGGCGACTTGATCCACCGTTGGGCCGGCCGCGGGAAGCGAAGCCGTTCTGAAGATGTTGGACGCCCCTCCCCCCCCCCAAAAAGTAAATAATATATATATATATATATGATAAATAAATAGATAAATCACTCAAATAAAATAATATAGAAAAAAGACAAACAAAAACACAATGCGGCCGCTCTCTCTGGTTTCCTTTCCCAGGTGGGTTTCTCTGGATCTTTCCCTGGGTTTCTGAGTTGTGTTTTTTTTGAGGGGCCCCAGTGGAAGTTTCCGTCAAGCATGTCTCACAGCTCTCTGCAATACTTCCCTGCCGATTCAACATGGGTTCTCCCAAAAACCACCTTTTTAGAGGAATCTCACTCTCTCTCTCTCTCTCGACCCCCCTTTTTTTCCGGGTTCTACGTTCAGTTGGGAGTGTTTTTTTCTGCCGTGTGACTCCACAGGTCACGCAGATGGCCAAGTACCTCACCTCCGTCTACGTGAGCGGCTGGCAGTGCTCCTCCACCGCCTCCACCTCTAACGAGCCGGGCCCCGACGTGGCGGACTACCCCTACGACACCGTGCCCAACAAGGCGCGCACCACCAATTTCTGGGGGTCATTCGGTGTGGCTCAAAATTAAACAGCTGGGGAAACCGCAGGTTTTAGATGCTGCTTTCCAATTTTGAGCCGCACCCATTATGTTGACTGGTTCTAGGGGTGATCAATCTCAGAGATTGGAATCGGTTGTTTCCTTTAACCTGCCGCTGATAAGGGTGACTTTGATTGTAGAATGATGGGGCCAGGTCACCGGCCACCTTTCCAAACGCCGAGTTCTTCTTCAGCATTTTTCGGGGGTTAGCCACAACCACTCCCAAGTTGTCTGGCCGGGGAGCCACTCACCAGCATGTCTCTGCTTGTTTTGAGGGCTTCTCAAATTGCTTTTGGGTCCATGTGTGCAGCCATGAGGGTTGGGGATGTCTATTTCCAATTCTGGTGTTGTTTTCAAGGGGAAGGCTCAAATAGCTCCGTTGGAACGTGTGTGAGTGTGAGCATTTGAGGGTTCTGAAAATGACTTGTGGGTCCTTGTTTTCCCTTCGTTTTTTGGGGGCTTCGGCTCCCTCCCCCCTAGTTGGCTTTGAAGGGGCCCCCTCCCGCGTGTCCCTTTTATTTGGCGAAGGCTGGCGCCTTTTTGTTGATGCTTGCGGGAGCAACCCCATTGAGATCATAGGTGTCCTTTTTGGTTGTTTTGCTAGAAAAATAGATGGCCCTGCTTCACCTGGTGGTGCAATCATCTTCCAGGGCCATCTATTTACCCTGAAAGGACACCTCGAAAACCAGCAAGTGGATTTTTTTTCTTCTTCTACAGTTGGCAGGTGGACCAGCTCTTCCGTGCCCAGCTCTTCCACGACCGCAAGCAGTTCGAGGAGCGCCGGCGCATGAGCCCGGCGGACCGTGCCAAGACGCCCTGCGTGGACTACCTGAGCCCAGCCCTGCACGTGGACGCGGGGGGATTGGGTGAGGACCAAAACTCAGTTCAGTGGCACCCGTTTTCCCTTTCTTTTTTTTAGTGGCTGCCTTATTAAAAATGGTCTTCCCCAAAAAGGGTTCCCTTGTTTTCCAGGGCCACTGAACAACTCAGAAAAGAAACGGGAGAGTTTCTGTTGAGGGTCATGACCCAGATGAAGCGGCCCAGATGTTCCTGGAGTTCCCAGGAAGAAAGGCCTCAATGGGAAGTGGGGGGGGGTGGTGCAAAGACTTCCTTTCCAAGAGGACAGGTGTCTTCTAGCAGTGCAAGCTGGCATAGAAGACAAGGTGTGCCTTTGGGAGATGTCAGACACAGGTATGCTTGTTGCATGGCCTCAAAGGGACCTGTTCCCAGCTAGTTTGGATGCTGTGTTTGGCTACAGCTTGCTTGAATACGTTTGGATTGGTGGTGGGAAACAAAAGGGCGTCACCTCAAAAGGTTGTTCCTTGTTTTGGAACATGCACACATTTGACAAAGATGCGCCACTTTTTGCAGGCTCCTGAAACAAAGGTGCGCACCGCGGGGCAGTTGTTTCCATGTCAAATGGGGCTGGGCATTTTTTTTGTAATGATACCAAAAAATCAGAAGGGTGATTTTCCACAGCCTGTTGATATTACTCCACTTATCCAGGGTTTCGGTTCCATGTGCTTGGCCGTTTATGTGTTATTGCAGGGGATTGCAGGTTTCCGACTAACATGGAAGGTCCTGGCAGCTTCCGTGTCAGTCTAGGAGAGGCTACATGTTTCGTCCCGGCACCTGCAAGCGGCGACTGAAGCAGCGAAGCGTAAGGAACCCCATCATCGCGGATGCAGACACGGGGCACGGTGGCCTTACCGCCACCATGAAGTTTCTTGGCAGCTCTTGGAAGGGATCCCACGACCCCACCACTAGCAGGGATTGGGCGCTGTTCCTGTTTTGGGGTGGGGGTGGAAACCACTTATATAGGTGGAAGGGTTGGGCACCGATGCAAAGCCTGGCTGACAAGAGCCATGGTGCGATCAAGCTGCATCCGTTAAGCGGAAAAACTGGGCGAGTCAGGCTGGCCAAGATGTTCATTGAGAGAGGCGCTGCTGGGATCCACATCGAGGACGTTTTTTTCCGCAGTGCGGTTTGACTCGTGAAGCCTTTTTTTGGTGTTACGACCACGAAAGGTCCGTAATAAGAAGGGCCGGGTTTCACAAAACGCTGAGGACTCCTTGGGCGCACCGGGGGGGGGGGGGGGAAAAAGGATGAAAGGCCCACAAAGGCGCCGGTGAGCTGCTTCCAACACCTCCGAGTGATAGAAAAGCTCACGCAGATGTCTGGGTGCGTCCGTCTGGTGCGTTCCAGGTGCCCCTTGGTGCGGGGTCCGAACCAACATGTTTATTTGTTTATTGTTAGTTTGGCTTATTATTTTTCTGTTTTGGGTGAGAGAGAGAGAGGGACACCGGGCCTCAGCCCCTCCCCCCCGCAGGACCAGAAGCCGGGCACCAAGAAGTGCGGGCACATGGGCGGCAAGGTCCTGGTATCCACCCAGGAGAGACGAAACCGACTGACCCGATCCTCCCGGAAAAGGCCTGGAGTCATCTGGGATCTCCGGATCTAATCTTCTCATCTTTCGGTTTTGCCGCGAGGTACCCGAATCTTTTGGGTCCCGCGAGCTCACAGGTGAGCCATAATCAAAACCCGGGTAATTGGAGGGTAGTAAGGGACAATCCCAGCCATAAATAGCTGCGGAAATCCGCCTGTTTAATTCTTGAAGCATGGTTCTGGGTCGACCATTTTTGTACCAGGTTTTGATTATGACTCAGGTGATCGTCGCTTGTTAGGTCCAAAGGGGCCAAGCGCTGTGCTTTTGGCCCACGCCACCGCCAGGAGCACATCCAGCGCCTGATCGCCATTCGCCTGCAGGCGGGGTTTTGGGGTTGGAGGGTTTTGGGTTTGGGTTTGGGGGTTTCTTGGTGGGTTTGTTGTCTGTTTTTTTGTTTTTTGTTGGGGGGGAGGAGGAGGGGAGGTTTGTTTCTTTTTCTTGTTTTCTTTTTCTTTCGGGTTTCTTGGTGCGATAGGCAGGGAATGACCCGAGTGCAGGCGGGGTTTGGGGTTGGAGTCTTCTTTTTGTGGGGGGGGTTCTTGGTGCGATAGGCAGGGAATGACCCGGGAATGAACCGGTTTTGGGGGATTCCTGGAAAGGAAGCCAACCCGGGGATGGTTTATGGGGGTCATTCCCTCCTCATTCCCTGCTGAGAACCAGCAAGTTGTTGGGGGTTTTGGGCTTTGCATGTTTGCCCGCAGGTGCCTCATTTTGTTCTTGCAAAGGGCATGGATCGCAGTTTGCAGTCAGTCGATGCAGACCTGAGCTGTGGGGGTGAGTCTTGAATTTCAGATGCTGCTTGCGACATGTCCCGCTTTTACCGTTTGCAAAGGGCAATGAAAAGCTATTAGAATCAGGCAATGCTTCAGTAGAATAGATGTTGGATTTCATTTTCCAACAAAGAGTCTACTGCTCTCTGTGGCACAGAACGCTTAGGGGTTGCATGCTCATGTGAAGGGTAGACAGTGCAATGGTTGCGGACAATTTGAGATTTTGGGGCCACGTTTTGCGAAGGATATTCCCTTTAGAAGTGCCAAAGTAGTCAGAGGGATTTGGGCAAATCATGGTTTGCTCGCTTTGCGAACAGAGCTGGTGAGTCCCTCACAGAGAACAAGGGATGGCTTTAGTTTGGGGGGATTCCCTCATTCCCTGAGAAACAACAAGTAAGAAAGGCAAGGCACACCATTGCCCAAGGGCCAAGGGGAAACTCTGGCAACAGGTCCCACAATCGTCTAGACTACACCATTTGTCACGCTCTTTTTGCACTCTTAGGGGACGCCGGGAAGCCAGAAAGGCCAGCAAACATGAATTGTAAGAGGGATTTGGATGTCCGCCGAAGGATCCTGGCATTCCATTTCTGGTTCTATTGTTCCTTTGTTTGGGGAAGACTATATAGGTGAGTGGAATTTGTTTGACCCCCCCCTCCCCCTTGAAGGAGGTTGGGGGGATACAAAACCCAGACCTCAGGGCCGTTCGGCACCATCGCCAGGCGGACGTGCTGAACTCGCCGCTGGTGATCGTCGCGCGCACGGACGCGGAGGCCGCCACCATGATCGACTCCAACATCGACCCCATCGACCACCCCCACATCAAAGGCGTCACCGCGCCCTGGGTTTTTGGCGTCTGAGTTTTCACCTCCCCGAGGTCCTGTGCTTGAGAATCTGTGGTTTGGACCTTCTCAGTGGCAAGTAAACCGTTTGTTCTTGTTGGGTTTGGACCTTCTTAGTGATAAACAGGCGGTTTAGAGCTTCTATTCTTGTTTGGCCCATCCGCAGCTTGGGGCTGAAAAGTGAGCCAAGCCGCGCGGGGAAGCATGGCATCGCGTCACTGCACTGCAGCTTGGGGTTGAAGGAAGAACAGAACGGAAGCTGACCTTCAGGTCTTTTGATAAAGTCTGATGCTTAGGCAAAACAGGCGGCCTGCTTTTAAATCCATGATTTGTTTGATGCTGCCAGATGTTCCAACTCTCTCTCCCTCCCTCCCTCCCTCCCTCCCTCTCTCTCTCTCTCTCTCTCTCTCTCTCTCTCTTGTTTGCTCAGTTTCCTCGGAAGATTCCCAGAATCCTTTTTCCCAGTGAGATCACCGCAGAACCTCCCAGAAGTTCCCAATGAGATTCTCTTCTCGGGACCTCCCGCTTCAACCTTCGGGGGCTGAAGGGGGCGGCGGGGCTCCGCTTTAGGCCTGCGCCAGGTCTTCATGAAATCCAGCCGAGTCGGCCAGGAAATTCAGGCAACATGGGGGGGCGCGTCTTTTTCTTTTCATTATACATATATATATATATATACATTTGGTCTCCGCTGGCCCAAAGATGTTGGGTGCCCCCGTTTCAAACTGTTGCTCCCCCCTTTTTTGCCACGAAACCAGTAAAAAAGTGTCCAATGACGCGAGCGGATCAGTTGGTCAAGAGGGCTTCCCCTTGAAGCATCTTAGGTGAAGGGTGTCGAGCCCCTCTACGAGGCGACGGGGATCGCTGGAGGTCGTGTCTTGGGAATGGGCATCACGTGGGAGGGCCGCAAACATGATTCTAGGGGTTGATTCCCCATTCCTTTCAACCATCGTTCTTTTCAAAAACCGGCTGTTTCCCCTGGTTTTTTGATGGTTTTCTGAAAAGAAGGATCCCTGGAAAGAATGGGGAAGGTACCCCTAGAATGATGGATGTCCTTTGGTTTTCCGAATTTTCCTTTCAGCATAAAATAAAGGTGCCGACTCCAGGAGACATGTACCCAACGAGCTTTGCCATTTACCCGGCCCGAATCCAACGCGTGTTGCATGTTTCATGGCTCCTTGCCCAACTCCGACCAAAGTACCTGGCTCATGTTGAAGATTTGGGCATCGACTTGCGGATTCCCCACTGGAACTGAGCAATAAATTTGACACGGGTTCTTTTCTCTCATCCAGTAAATCCATTTTAGCCGGGAAAAGCAAGAGGAACACTGGCTGGTGGGTTGCCTACTATAGTGGCGAAACGCCTGGGATCCACGTCGGGCCTTTGGTACTATGAGCCAACGAGTTGAGGCGCCAGTTCCAGTGGGAAATGTTCAACGGCGCGGGTCTGCATGGCCCTCTCCAATACATCTGAGGAGTGCTCTCAAAAGGGACCAGTCCCCAAGAATCTTTGAATATATTGGGTGCATGCAGAAGAGGTGTGACAGAGGCTGGGGATTCCATGTGTTTACTACACCAACAAGGTGCTCCACACAAGCTTCACGGGAAAGGGACCAGTTCATAGGTGATACCTCCCCTTGGCGCCCGCCAGAGGTGTGTGACATAGACGCTCGCAACCAGTTAAGCGTTTGGCGGCAGCCATCACCAAGAAAAGGGAAAGCGTGAAGCAGCCTCGTGTCTCGGTCTCATAACTATCGTCAAATTGGGTGTGGTTAAACCTTTCCCGCCTTGCCACGGCGACTGGAGGTTGGTGTTGCGGGCCCTCCAGAGGCCTCCCTGGGCCCGAGTCAGGCCATGCGCAAGGGCACGGACAAGGACTGGGAGCAGCGCGCGGGGTGCATGACCTTCCCGGAGGCGGTGTCCAAGGCCGTTGGGGTCACCTCCCAGTGGTGTGGTTGGGGGGTGGTTTCCCATTTTGCCTTTGAGGCACCGGTTGAAGTCCTGAAGTCCAAAATCCAAACACCACCAATCCAAACCACCAAAGTACCCTCCCAGCAATGAAGATGGAGCCTGACGTTCGGGACATGGTCCCTTTAGAAGGAAAATGGTCCAAACCAACACCATTTCTGCGGACGTCGAATGGTTCCATGTGAAACGGGTGGGAGGGTCACTCATATCTCTGGTGGCGTGAAGTGCAAAAATAACTTGCAGGGAATCACCCTCCGGGTGTTGGGAATGAACCAGGGGTTCCCTTAAAAGAAACCATTGGGGATGGGGTATAATTAGGGGTCATTCCCTGCTGAGAACCAGAAAGACAAAAGACCAGCAACATATTCTGAGGCCGGAAGCACATGGTGTTTGAAGTGCATCATTTGTCGCACAATGGGGGGGGGGCCAACTCATGTTGCTACAGAAGCAAGATGACCGCGGAAGGGGGGGAACCGATGGCGGGCCTAAACGAGTTCCAACCAATGGCGTATTGATCGATCGATTGCAGAGAACGACAAGGCCATAGCCATACTGTGGAAGGACGAAATCCATTTCGCACCACCTAGGAAACCCGAGAAGAATGATTCGACTGTAAAGACCAACGAACAATGGTTTCTCATGGTTTCAGGGTGGTGCAGGATTTCGTCCATCCACAGTAGGGCCAGGCAAGCAACTGATTGAGCTCAATTTGACGGAAGTTCGGGCCATCCGAAACGGGACGGTTGGGTGTGGCTCCTTGCCACCGGATTTCGCTTCGCGAGGCATTGAAGGCTGCCGGCAAGGACAGCAGCCAGTGGGAGAAGGCGGGAAATGGGTTGCAGCGGGGTGCTTAAATGATGTCTGATCTTTTTGTTATGGCTAGAAGGCTAGAACCTACTTAGGGCAAGTGCTTAGGTTTATCATCTAGTACAGTTAATAAAGGTTTAACAGGGCTCCTTAAAAAATACATCTTGCCCATTTGAAACATGGCTTTTCCCGCCAAAATAAAGGGACACGGCCATTTACAAGGCAATGTTCAGGTGTTTTTTATGTAAGGACCCCTGTTTAAGCGGGTTATAGCCAGGGTTGCCAAGCACTTACTCGAGGCTCCCTGCCCGGCCGCATCACTTGCGCTCCGGATCGCCGTTTGGGCCCCCCGTTTCTTAGGGTCCCGGCGCCCTTAGGACTCGCTGAGACAGTGCTTTGTTCAAAGGGTTGGGTTACAGGAAAAGCTACAGGAAATGGCCCAAAAGACCCTAAATAAGCTGTTTTCCGGTAGAATTCCTGCAGCCCAACCCTTTGATTTGATGGTTTCTTGGTTGGAACCCTCAGGGTTTCATGTCTCCCGTCCGGTTTCCACTAAGCCAACCTTGTATGAACCCTGCACTCAAACATGTTGTCTTTTTGGGTGGACCTACCTTGGGGTGAGTTTTCAATTGCAACCCTGCACTCCAAGAAATTGTGTTTGGCATTTCCCCAGCGTTCCCGTTGCAGCCGGCACAGATTCTAGGTCGTAACTCCATGCGTGGGCAACCGAACGTTTTTGCACGCGACTCGAACTTCAAAGCCCCTCACAATTCCCACTTTGTAAGGCCATGGTTCGAAAAAGCAGCTCTTTGGCCAGCAAATGCCTCCTTTAGGGGTTCAAAAAAGCCGGTCTTCGGCAAGCAAATGCCTCCTCAGGGGTTCAAACAAACAGAGCAAATGCCTTCTTTGGGGGTTCAAACATCATACCCAAGAAACGACGGTGTGTATTTGTGCGGGGGGGATGCCTGCCGTCGCGAATTTCCCCCGGTCAGGAGTGCAGGAAGATGTCCTTGGACCAGATGAGGCGGGCGCGGTGGCTTTGTCGCTGCGGTTTCTCGGGCTGGGGCCAGCGGCCAGTTTGCTTGGGCGCAGGCAAATTGTGTCCTTCAAAGGGTAAGCTATATTTTATCCTTTCCCAGTGCTTCCAGCTATCACTACAGTAGGTAACCAGGGCTTCTTTCCTCGAGGTTTTGCATCATAGGTGTCCAATGGCTACCTACTATACTGGTAACTGGAAGCATTCCCCTTTCGTTTCTTGGCCCTACCAAAATCCTTGAACAGGGTTGGCAGGAGGGGCCCCATTGAGACGCTTCCGGTCCACCTGGCTGAACCCAAAACCATCACCGGAAACTGGTGGCGTAGGAAAGAGAGGAAAGCAGGGGAAAAGCGGCCCCTGAGACAAAGCCGTCGACGTTGCATGCCATCCAAGCATCAATGCCCAAGGGCATTTTCATGGGGCTTGAAGCTATGGATGCGTATGTACCGCCAATTTTAAGCTTGTAACGCAGTGTGCACCCCTGTGGTATTTGTCACACCTACCCTGGGCTCTATATAAATCAAACAAAAAGAAGAAACAGGCCACGCAGCATCAACCCCGAAGACAACAAGCACACCGATACCAAGGGGTCGCTGGCGACGAGTCGCGACTCGAGTCGCGACTTGTGAGGAAGAAAGCAGTGGACCTGGGCTGCGGGGAGATCTTCTTTGACTGGGACTCCGCCCGCTCGGCTGCTCGGCTCTGTGCTTCTCCACCGGCTCAACACTCGGGCAATTGGAGGGCAAGGGGTAAGGCGCGGCCGCCTTCTTCATGGCTCTGGGTGGACCATTTTAATAGTGGGTTTTGATTCTGACTCAAGCGGTTCAAGAGGTGCAAGCCCGCGTGACCAAACATTCCAACCACCGATCGAGGAAACTGCCAACTACGCACCAACCTAGCCAAAGAAGAAAGGAGACAAGCCAGGGAGCCAGCGAGCAAGCAAGAGCGCAAAGAAGTGAGCCAAGCCAACTGAGAATTCGTCATGCTTTCGAAGCAATCAAGCAAACAAGCAAGCTTGCAAGCATAGCAACCTTGCAACTTAGGAACCTACCAACAGTTATCCAAAGCGAAGCAACCAAAGTATCAAGCAAAGCAATCAAGCATCCAAGAGTCCAAGAAAGACAACCGAGCCAAGCCAAGCAAGCGCCACCAAGCACCACCAAGCGCAATGAAGCAAGCGAACGCAAGTGAACAAGCAAACAAACAAGCAAGCCAGCAAGCAAGCACCTGAGGTGGAGGGCTACTTCCGCATCAAGGGCTCCACTGAGTTCTGCATTGAGCGTGCCATCGCCTTCACGCCCTATGCGGCAGCTCGGCTTGAGGGATCGAGTGGCTGAGGCTTCCTTCCAAGGCCCAAAAAGTGGTTGACACGAATCCTCACCCAAATGATCTAGGGATGTTTGTGCCTTGTGCTGGGGAAGGAATGCGGATCTTCTCTTTTTCTGGAATCTTTTTTCCCCCCTGCCCCGAGCTGACCTGGGAGAAAAGTGGGTGAGCCTTTTGGAGCCGCATAAATCGCCATAAATAGCCCATGGGCAAGCCCAAGAGTTGTCATTCCATTTGAAGCCGAAAATTCACATCGAGCTGTGAGGACTCCATTTGGATGGAGACCGGCAAGCCCATCCTGGCGCAGGCGACCCAGTTTGCCAAGGCGACGAGATCCGAGGGTTCAAATGCCACAAGCGGCACAGGAATTTATTCAGCCCATTTTGGGCTCGGTGGTTCCAAAGCGAGCTGTTCACCTTTGACTTTTTCCCCTTTTTTGGTCGTTTTTGAGTAAAGGTCCCAAAAGATTCACCTCTTGTTTTGTAGGTCCAAAGGGGCAAGTGAGTCTGAGCTTGGGAGGAAAGTTCCCCGGTCGCTATGCTGGAAAGTGACTGCCACATGACTGCCTCTGCTGTCGCGGTTGACAAACCGTGACTGACCCAAGCTCAGGAACAGTAACACACGCAGTGGGATGTACCAGGATCTGAAACGGACCCCACACGGAGATCATGGGGGCGTTTTCACTCTGCAAAAATGCGCGGCCTCTTTGGAAGATGAGGCATTTGAACAGTCGAGTGAACCAAGAAAGTGGAGTCTCCCTGACAGAGCCTCCTCTGGTTCCGGCGTCAAGCAAATTCCTCAGAGAAGCTGTTGTTATTTCCCCCCCCCCCTGCTTAAAGTACGGGGAGCGTGCAAACATGGAGCATCGGCCGCAGCCCGCGCTGTGCAAAAGCACTCCGTAATCCTTGGCCTACGCAAGGAACCAGTCCCCTCTGCAGCGGCTTCCCTATCTTGCTGCTGCGATAGGTAGGGGATGTGGTTGAGTGAACCCAGGCTTTGGCCCGCTTCCTTACAGGAAACCAAGTTGGACAGCCTGGATGACCTTCACAGGAAACCACCGGGATGTGGTTGAATGACCCCAGCAAGGGTTGGTTTATCTCGGGGTCATTCCAATTCTCACTCCTTACTGAGCCAGCAGGCTTCACGCGCCCCACCTGCTAGGAGGTCCGAGCTGCGGTGCCTCACCAGATGCTGGCCTACAACCTGAGCCCCTCCTTCAACTGGGACAGCGTCTTGCCGACAAACGGCCCCTGGAAATTTCGGTTTAGGGATGGTCGTCGATAAAGTTGTTTTTCCCCTTGAACCGGCAAAAAGCGGGTCACTATTTTGCAGAGCGAAACTTTGAAGAGCTCAGTTGCCAAAAAAGCGAAGCGGACCTTTGGACATGTTTTTTTGCCGGTTCCCAGCGAATCGTCCGGTTCCTGAGCTTTTTGGGGTTTAGTTGGTCAAAGGTGGGGGTGTCCAGTTAACCCACGAAGAGTTGAACTTTTTGCAGGGGATCTGAGGACAGACCAGTTTTTGCACGTTATTTGTTTTCCATTTGATGGCTTTTCTTTCTGTGTCCTTTGGGCAATACTTTCTTGGGTTTGGATCATTGTAGTACACCAAACAGTTCTTGGCTACTTTTCTGGCACATCTATGCTACATTTTACGTGCCCACCTTTTCGGGCGACCTGTTTTTGTTTTGTTTCTGTTTTTGGGGGCATGTACTTTTATCATAGCAGTTTGTAATACGCCATTGCCCAACGCGGCATTTGGCTCAAGTTTTCATCACGGCGAACTGCACTGCCATAGCGTCATTGGCAGCCTGCGGCGCCGCTACCCATCTCGTACCTGAAAAAGGGCGGGCTGGGCTTCGCGGCGGTAGGCACGTCCTTTGGTTGTGGGTCGGTTGTTTGTTCGGTGGTGTGCGCTTTGTTTTGCTTCTGCACGCTTGCTCGCTTTGCTCGCTTGGTGCTGCTTGCTGCTGGTTTGCTTGCTCGCTCTGCGCTGTGCTGCGCCTTCTGCTTGGTTCATTCTTGTTACAACGAGGCACCCCTTTTGGTTCGTGTTAGTGCCGGCCGGGGGCAACTGCTTTGCCCTTGGGACCGGGGGATAAGGTGGTCTCTTCTTGTTGGTGGGTTAGGGCCTGTTTTATCCATCCCGAAACTCTGTTTCAAACCCTTTCGCAGGTTATCAGCCGTAAGATTCGTCCTCGGTTGGCACCGCGAACCCCTTTTTTTTTTAATAACAACCCTGCAGGCGCCGTTTTCCATAGGCTACTGTAGGTCTCATGGCGGGAATCACTGAGGATGGACCTCATGTGGTGACCGATGAGTGGATTCTCGGCCAGGCCGGAATCTTGGACGTTGTGAATGACGGCCAGGTGCCCGGACAGCCGACCTTTACCGGTCCTGACTTTTTGTCGGGTCACACTTTTTCCGAAGCAATGCCTTCAGAGAGATCCAGTGCTACTCGCACTGATGATCTATCGTCTAATGCCTCAAGAGCTAATCGCTCTCAGGGTCGTGGGACTAATCGTCCTGACCATGATGATTCCGTCTCAGGACGTGATGATGACGAGCCCGGTATTGCACCTGGAGCTCAATCCTCATCTTTCCCCGAGCTGATGAATATTGGTCAGTCCGAGGTTCATGACTCTCGAAGCAGCAGTAGACCTGTGCCAACCAGTAGCATGGCTTTCCAAGCGCTCGGTAATCCCGAACCTGGTGCATGCAGTGGAGTTGCATTCAATGTTCATATGCCCACCGAACTCGGTAGGCTGGATTGGAGTGCCTCATGGCCCAACGATGGAAACATTTTTTGGCATGGATTTCGCCGCATGGACACCCGCCCCGTCATCTTTCCCGCAATTCCAAAGCCCAAAACGGGCTGCTGGAAGCGATGAATTCATGCTGCCTTTGTCGATTGAGAATCTCAATCCTGATGTGGCCAGCCGTAACGTCAGGCCAAGGCCGTCGATAAACCCGACCATGAGGAACATGTCCCCTCCCCCAGGACTTTCAGGATTTGAGAGCCCTAGGGAGCGAAACATTGTAGACAGATTGGATTTGCATCCCAGTCCTACCCCGAGCAAGCGATCAAGGTCAAATTCGACTGGATCGCATAGGGCAAGAGGGATGGATCGGGAAACTGCTCACAGGGGAAACCCCAGTACGCGGGGTCGCTCAGGTGATCCAGCGTCGATCATTGGTAGGGACCCGCTAAACGCGGACACACTAGTTAACGTGCTTGATGGGATCGAAGCGTTCCAGGAGGAGTTTAATAGGTCGAATGGCTCGAATGTTCAAAATGTTCGCCCTACGCCCAATGCGACTTCCTTTTTCGCCTTGGACAACATGGACGGAACTAATGTTCCGATAGAATCTGAGTCCATGATGACATCGAGTTCTAGTCACAATCACACCATCAGTAATGCCACTGATGTTGAGTCGATGTCTGAATCTAGAGTGTCCAATGCGACCAATTTGAATGACATTGTCATTGCTGACGCAAGACCTGATGTTCCTATGCGAACTGATAGGCCTGTCGTTCCTAAATTGCCCGTGGCCAAAAGGCCTGGGCATGCCACAACCCTCGGCGGTTCGTGATGCTAGGAGATCTGCGCCGTATCAGAGTCAATCTCCTAATCGGAGTGAGTTCCCACGGCCGATAACGGCCGTACAGGATGATTTCAGAACTCCTCCGAGGTCTAATCCAATCATGCTTGATCTGTCCACACCTTGGGACCGTGGATCAAAGCATAGCCCCATGGGTGAAGATCAGCCCAATGAGGTTGCTGATCTCGTCACGGCCCTTGAAAGAGGGAGAGTGGACTCTTCAGTAAGTGCAATCATTCATCGCCTGGTTGCTAAGGTCGAAGACCTTGGGCGTAGGAATGATAGAAGTGATCAATGCACCAAGCAACTAACCACTGAGGTCAACTCGTGGAGAGCCAAGTACGACCAATGCGTCCATGTGAACAATACGTGTACACAGGCTGCAAACGTGTCCATGCAACTCTCACAAGGGGCTAAGGACGTCGTAACCGAGCTTGGCCAACGAGGAGCAGTGGACGACCATTAGGGCAAAGCTCCCGGCCAAAACCGGCGAATACGCACTGGAGGTCGTGGAGGTTGACGAGGAGAGTTCAGTATCTGAACTCCTTCGTACGGTGGTCGGGCCCAAGCTCATGGATCCGGTGCATGCCGGTGCGCCTGCAAAGGCGAAGGATGACATATTCGTCATCTTCACCAAATGCGTGTGGCTGACCGAGTGGCTCAAATCTGAGAACACGTACGGTCCCAACCCCGAAGCGGGTAGGATCATCGATGAAAACATCGATGCCATGAAAGCATTCGCCAACAAAGGTGGGCAAAGCCAGGCGCCGACAATAATATTGTCTGGTCCTGGAATCGTTTGGCATGGCACGTCCATGCAAAACATTGCAACGACATTTTTCAGGAAATGCCGCGACGCCGGCTTTCCCGCCTACCCATCCAATGCGATGTGGTTTGGCTGCTCCAAGAAGAGCTCAAACGGTGGTGTCGACACCAATTCATGGGTCTTGTGTCGGCGTTTACCGACCTGACCTCGATCCTGAGGCGCGAATACCCCATGAATGGCGAGATCCAGGAAACCCTGGCCATTGCCATCAACTATTTGATCGATGAAGGTAAGTTGGTGAATCCACCAGAGTCTTACTTCAGTGCAGTCAAGCTGTGCGGAGGCAAAACATGCCTCACACCGGTGCAACGGTGGTCCACTTCCGAGGATACACCGTGGGCGGAGGTTATCTCTGCTCCTAGAACGATGTCTGGTGGCCAAGGCGCCCAGGCACGTCCAGCTTCGGCCAACGCGCCTAGAGCGGCCAGTGCACGGAATTCGGATCCTCAGTCTGCGCCAACCTCCAATGCGGGCAGTGGGCAGAAGACTATGGCTCAGCGCGTCCGGTCCTCAACGCCACCTGCAACAGGTAAGCAGAGGCTGGGCCAGGCCATGGCTGATTTTGGTCAGTCGGCCGCTAATCGCGGTCTTTCGCCCGCCATATGCGGCAATCAAAGGGGAACCATCCCTGCAAAACCAACACCAGCGTGTGGGTATACCCCATCCACGACTGGTGCTCCGACCAAATCTGGCGGCCAAAGAGTCGCTTTGAAGCTTAACACTGGGAAGCAGATTTTTGTGGCTAAGCCAAAACCCCCAGAGCTTCCCAAGGACGCATATAGTGATGATTTCCCGACCCTATCAGGGCGCGAAGCCGCCAACAGATGGGCTGGTGGAACCGCCAAGCGTGCCGGTGGAGTGCCGCCTAAGGAGGGAGGACCGGTACCAGTTCAGTCCTCGCCCACTGGCCCTCCGCCAAAGGGCGCAGTTCCGGCTGAAAAGGGACCCAAGGTCGAGGCACCTAAGGTCGCAAGCATGCCGGTGCCCAAAGCGGCAGGTGCTGGTGCCGCCAGCACTGGGGGCACAGGAGGATGCAATCCCGTAGATAGTGGGATCACGCCCCAGGTTCCGCCGCCGAGAGCTATTAAGAGCGCTCCGGCTGGCCCTTCCGTGCAGGCAAAGCCCTGTAAGGTGGAACTGCAAGGGAGAATCCCGCCTACCCTCCGGTCGAACTCCTAATACGGAGAGTCTGGAGGGAAGATGATCCAACAGAGGTCACAAGTGAAGTGATCTTTGCGCGTTCCACCCTAATCGGGAGGGACGTGCCATATAAGGTTTTCAAGCGCTGGGCACTGCGCGATCGGACACCGATCGGGCCTTTGTTGAGGCCAATGGATGCGGCAGAGGTCACTTATACGGGATATGTGCTGCTTTCCATGCCTGAGTGTTGGTCCGCCCTCAAGACGAGGTGCATCCGACGTCCCGGCAAATTCGCCATCAAAATCTTCACCGTGCGGCCCGATAAGATCTGCAGGGGGGAGATTCAAATCGGCTTGGAAGGCGCAAAGGTGCCGTTCCTGAAGCTGCCGAGCCCTAACAATGAGGGCGAGTTTTACGTCGATGAACGTGTCGCGTACATGGACAAGCGCCATGTTGTCGTGGCGATCGACTTGAAATGGTTGGCAATTGAGGGTGCCGCAAGCATATACAAAACCCGACGCGGTTTCATTGCTGTGCGTGAGGAAATTCATGCACCTTTCTGGCGTGCATGTTACTTGCACCAGGAAGGGGATGTAATATACATCCGACCTTGGGCGATCCGGGCCTTGATTGCCCCGGGTCCGCCGAGAGGGGAGTCATTCGCGTGGGACAAAGCTCCCATGCATGACTATTGGTGCCCTCGATGCGCACATTTGAACATGTACGGCACCATTCTATGCAATGGGTGCCATTTGCCCATTTTCTATCGGGAATGGGTGCCTGGTACCTCTCAATCCAAAATCAGGCGTGGGCAGCCGAAGTGGTTGGACGGACTCAAAGCAGTCATGCCCAACAGCTGGTATTATGCGGAGACGAACGTCTGGGCCCCTCTGATGGCATCGGTAAACCCGATCCGTGAGGTGGTCAGTTGCATGATCTCCGGTCTGCGCTGTGCGCCATACCTCGTACACAATCCCAATGCGGATACTGTACAGGTAGCATTTCAAGAGGTTGAGAAAGTCACCTCTATGGACACCCACTCGTGTGTGAGAGCGAGTGACGAAGCGCTTGAGCGATGGGTGGCAAAGCAACTGCTCATCGAGGAAAGTGAGACTGGAATCCCAGTTCCTGAGGGCTTGACAGTGCTCGCATATTTGATCAACAACCCGCAACACGCGGCACAGTGGGGACGCCACATGACAAGGAAGGGCAGTCTAAATTCAGCCTTTGCCTTTTACCTTTCTGTATATATTTACGACGCGTACCGCATCGCAGTCGAGGATGGGTATCTCGTTCCACTTTATGGCCTAGGCGCCTCTCGTGAGGACGTGGTTATGTCAGTGGTCCAAGCCGAGCGACGCCTCGCGGATTTCAATAACGAAGACTCTGATTTTGACATCACCGAGACTCTCAGGTCAGGTTGAGCATAGACTCCCTGAGGAGCGGTGGTGGGTCGATCACGGCCCCAATCGAGTATGCTGAGGCATACATTTACACCGACCGGAACAAGGTCGACATGGTTCCCGCTAGACAGCGTGACGGCCAAAGCGCCATCGTGTTTGCAGATCCGCCATCTGGTAAGCACCACAAGCGGGCTGCGACACCGCGGGGTGATCATCGCTCAGCTTCAATGCGACCGGATCAGAAGGGAAAGGGGGATCCTCGGAAGGGCAATGCCCCTGCGAGCCCCTGGCCCAAAGACGAGGGGGCTGGTATCCGCCGGTCGGCGTCCTTGACCGGGCGGATCCGCCACGGCCGTATTGCCCGTACTGATGGCCGTATAGGCCACCCTTACCCTTGTGCTGGTCACCCTTGTGACCTTTGAATTGGTCACCCTTGTGACCCTTACTTGCATACGGGTCCCCTTTGTGACGACGCACGTGGCTCGGGATACAAGGGCGCACAAGCCGCTCCTTTTCCGTATCCGAGTCCAATGTATCCCGCATTCCCGATGGGGGGCTTCATGCAACAGCCCATGGCTGGCATGATGCCGCAAATGTGGCCTGGCGCAATGCCGCATGCGATCAGGGATGGTCGCAGTATCCGCCGGAGAATCCCGGCGCATACATGAACCCAAATTCGCCTCACACCCCGACTTGGGGTGATGATGACGAGTTGGCTGAATTCGAGCCTTCTCCTCTCCCCCCCGGGGACTGGAACGTTGAGAAGGGAAAGGGACGGCGCGGCGGTGGACAGGGTAAGTGATGCCCGATTGTGTTCCACAAGAGCTGTGTCGCGTCCGACTGTGCCAATGCGCACTTGCAATTTGATGAGGTTTCATTTTAAATCAAATCAATGCATGACGACGCCCCCAGGACAACGCTCCTGGTGTCGATCCACCATATCGGTTAATCGCCGAATTGTAATTCAATTGCACGTATGGCTGTGCGCTATTCGCGCCAGTCATATTGTCCTGCCAGGTGCGTAATATCAACGTAATATCATTACAAGGCAGTCACCCTCGCCGGCATCTATAGCCGCTGGCGATCAACATCCTCCAGCACCGCTGATGCAGCTGGCGAAGGATCCCATCGAGGTGCAGGGGTGAAGATCACGAATGCGCTGCACCGCCGCCGGTGAGATCCTACTCGGACCTGAACCGCTGAGTGCTGCTGGTGGTATCCCTGGCGGTTGTCTTCGAATGATCGCGCGCCTAGACGGTGCTGATTTAAGACCAAGGCTCATTGGTCTATGCACCACGTTTCAACCAGCAAGCCAAAGCGCTTTTGATCATATAATTCAAACATCATACCCACATGAATCTCTTGATTCACTGTGGTTGCATCGCAGTATTTCTTTTTACTTCACGCCTGCCATTTCAGAGTTGAATCTTTGTTCTTTTCTTTTTGTTGTCTTCTCTTGGTTGATTTGGCTACCGGCGTGAATCCGCCCCCATACCCGTAATTCGGGGTGGTGGCGGGATCCAGACTCCAAAGCGAGCCCGGGTATGGGGTCGCGAACCCTGGTAGCCTAATCGTCTCTGTTTCTTGTTTGTTGCTGTTCAACTCCAACATGGTCAATGCGCCTTTCCAAATTCACTCCATCTCTTTGTACAGTCGAGGGGGGTGTTTTTGGGGGCATGTACTTGTATCATAGCAGTTTGTAATACGCCATTGCCCAACGCGGCATTTGGCTCAAGTTTTCATCACGGCGAACTGCACTGCCATAGCGTCATTGGCAGCCTGCGGCGCCGCTACCCATCTCGTACCTGAAAAAGGGCGGGCTGGGCTTCGCGGCGGTAGGCACGTCCTTTGGTTGTGGGTCGGTTGTTTGTTCGGTGGTGTGCGCTTTGTTTTGCTTCTGCACGCTTGCTCGCTTTGCTCGCTTGGTGCTGCTTGCTGCTGGTTTGCTTGCTCGCTCTGCGCTGTGCTGCGCTTCTGCTTGGTTCATTCTTGTTACAACGAGGCACCCCTTTTGGTTCGTGTTAGTGCCGGCCGGGGGCAACTGCTTTGCCCTTGGGACCGGGGGGATAAGGTGGTCTCTTCTTGTTGGTGGGTTAGGGCCTGTGTTATCCATCCCGAAACTCTGTTTCAAACCCTTTCGCAGTTTCGTTGGCTCCCTTTGAAAAAACCTGCGCAAAGTAGTGATTCGCACCCCAAACATGGATTTCGGTTTCCTCCAGGTTTCCCAATGACAACCTTAAGCAGAAAAGAATACCGAGCCTCACAAAGACACACACCCCGTCCCAGCGGCATGGACCAGGTTCCCCCCCTCCCCCCCCAACCCCCTCGCCCATCTTCTGCCGGAAAGCCTAGTTGCAACACGCATGGAGATTGTAGATATGCTAGCCCAACGCCCAGCCAGCGAGACTTGCACCAAAAACCGAACACCAGAGGTGTGTGAGAGTATCCCAGGTGCCGGCATGACGGACGCGCAGATGGAGAGCTTCATCTGGGACTTGGCGAAGCTGGGCTTCTGCTGGCAGTTCATCACGCTCGCCGGCTTCCACTGCGACGCCCTGAACATCGACCTCTTCGCCAGGGAGCCTTCGGGGGCTTTTCGCCGAGCGGCGCGCGTTTTTTTTTTTTGGGGGGGGGTGAGCCAAGGAGAGGTTTTGGGGGGAGCGTTTCTTTTTGTTTGCTGTTTTTCCCCCAGGAGGGTTGGTCTTCACTAGTCAAGGCCCGGAAACCAAATCGCTCAAGACTTGTTTCGGGCCAAGCCCGGAGGTGAGTTTTGCCTCTGGTCCTCACAGGCAAAATGCAGATGGGGAGAAGGGGGTTAGCCAAAGTGCTCGGGTTCTCGCGAAAAGCATGGCTCATCGTCCTCGCACATAATTTCTTCGGCGGCTTTTTTCCGCCGCTGCCCAGGGACCTGGAGGTCTTATGCGGTTGGCACCTATGCTTGAAACAGGCGCTGGTTCGAAACATCCCTTTTGCTCAATGGTTTGCGCGAATGGCTGAACATGAGCAAGAGAACGGGCCCATTTTCTGCCGGAACGCCTAGTTGCAACACGCATGGACGGATGGAGATTGTAGATAGGGTTGCTAGCCCAAAGCCCATTCAGCGAGACTTGCACCAAAACCCTAACACTAGAGGTGTTTGTGTCTGTGTCTGTGTCTGTGTCCGTGTCCGCGTCTGTGTTTGTTTGTTTGTTTGTTTGTTTGTTTGTTTGTTTGTGTGTTTGCTTGTTTGTTTGTTTGTGGTGTGTCCAAGGTACCCCTTGTAGAGTGAAGCCAAGAGGAGACCACCCTGGAGTCTTCCAGATCCTTTGAAACAGACCCATGTTGCAAAGCAGACTGTCGCAACCCCCGGCCTGCACGGGCCATCCAGCCAGGAGTACGCCAAGAAGGGAGCCTACGCCTATGTGTCGATGATCCAGCGTGAGGAGCGCAAGCACAAGGCACAGTTGCCTTTGGGTTGGCAGGGCACCGCTGTACCTCAACTGGACCTCCCACCAATTATCATGAAAACCTGACGGGGTCCTGGAAGACAATTTTCCTTTTAAAGGGACTCTCTGTCACGACTTCCATGCAGGTTGTGTGCCGAAATGAGTCGCATCCCATTTGAATGCCGCTCCATGGTTCATTCACAGACACCGCCCATGAGACTGTCACACAAAAAAACCGTAACTTGCCCTGGCGCGAGTGTGCGCTGAGTGCGCAAAGAAATGGAGTGCCGGGAGCTGGAAATTGGGACGGCCAGCTCGCTTTGGAATCAGCGAGTTCCCTTCGTGAGTTCGGGTTCCGGTTTCCAGGTGGGCTTGCCTCAAAATTGGACCGCCACAAGAGACAAGTGCAACTTTTTGCAAGCAGAGAAGGTTGACGTAGCTGTATGGGCAATGAGGTCGCCCCACCAGACGGCAAGTTTCTGCATCATGACTGGTCTTTGAGCGTGTCAAAACTCCGGCAAAATGCAAGCGCACATTTCCAATTTTATTTGGCTTCTTATTCTCACACGTGCCAGACATCTGTTTTCTCCGGCATGTTGGCCTACCTCACCTCAAACCTGCAAATGGCAAAGGCTTGCTGGTGCGATAGGCAGGGAATGAGGGAGTAACCCGAGGGATTCCTTCAAAGGAAGCAACAAGGCATGGTTTATCAGGGTCATTCCCTCATTCCCTGCCTATCGCAGCAGCAAGAAAAGCGGGGCAACCTTTGCGCAAACTGTTCGGTCCACCGATTCCCATTGCTTGGTGGGCGAGACACACGCCAATGCAGTCAGCACGAATGCCAGGTGGAAACCCTGACGCACCAGAAGTGGAGCCTTGGAGGTAGATTGGGCGTGTGCTAGGCGGTGCGGCCGGAAGTTTTTGTTGTTTTTTTCCTGCTGTGTGTGTGTTGTGTGTTGTGTGTTGTGTGTTGTGTGTTGTGTGTTGTGTGTTGTGTGTTGTGTGTTGTGTGTTGTGTGTTGTGTGTTGTGTGTTGTGTGTTGTGTGTTGTGTGTTGTGTGTTGTGTGTTGTGTGTTGTGTGTTGTGTGTTGTGTGTTGTGTGTTGTGTGTTGTGTGTTGTGTGTTGTGTGTTGTGTGTTGTGTGTTGTGTGTTGTGTGTTGTGTGTTGTGTGTGTGTGTGTGTGTGTGTGTGTGTGTGTGTGTGTGTGTGTGTGTGTGTGTGTGTGTGTGTGTGTGTGTGTGTGTGTGTGTGTGTGTGTGTGTGTGTGTGTGTGTGTGTGTGTGTGTGTGTTTGTGTGTGTGTGTGTGTGTGTGTGTGTGTGTGTGTGTGTGTGTGTGTGTGTGTGTGTGTGTGTGTGTGTGTGTGTGTGTGTGTGTGTGTGTGTGTGTGTGTGTGTGTGTGTGTGTGTTTGTGTGGTGTGTGTGTGTGTGTGTGTGTGTGTGTGTGTGTGTGTGTGTGTGTGTGTGTGTGTGTGTGTGTGTGTGTGTGTGTGTGTGTGTGTGTGTGTGTGTGTGTGTGTGTGTGTGTGTGTGTGTGTGTGTGTGTGTGTGTGTGTGTTTGTGTTGTGTGTGTGTGTGTGTGTGTGTGTGTGTGTGTGTGTGTGTGTGTGTGTGTGTGTGTGTGTGTGTGTGTGTGTGTGTGTGTGTGTGTGTGTGTGTGTGTGTGTGTGTGTGTGTGTGTGTGTGTGTGTGTGTGTGTGTGTGTGTGTGTGTGTGTGTGTGTGTGTGTGTGTGTGTGTGTGTGTGTGTGTGTGTGTGTGTGTGTGTGTGTGTGTGTGTGTGTGTGTGTGTGTGTGTGTGTGTGTGTGTGTGTGTGTGTGTGTGTGTGTGTGTGTTTGTGTGTGTGTGTGTGTTTGTGGGTGTGTGTGTTTGTGGGCGTGTGTGTTTGTGTGTGTGTGGGTCAGTGCATCGTCTGTACACGCGGAATTCGGATCGTCTGTACACGCGGGACCGGATCGTCTCTGCGCGCGGGCCTTTTTTGCCCCGGATCGTTTGTACACGCAGTGCTTACTGCTATGCACAAGAAGGGACAGGGGCGTTGACAGCTGCATGTGGCGGGTGCACGTGAGCGGGTGCGCTTTTAGGTGGGAGGCGTGAATGCAGTGCTGCGCGAGCGCGCGTGAGCAGGTGCCCCCAACCCCCACCCCCACCCCACCCCCCCTCCCCAATACCCCACCCCATCTGTTACGCGTGAGCGGGTGCGCTTGCTAGGTGGCAGGCATGTGCGCAGTGCTGGGCGGGCGTGTGTGAGCGGGTGTGCCCCACCCCACCCCAACCTCCCCAAAGCCTGACCCCAGCCCAGCCCACCCTGAGCAGGCGCTCATTAAGGCGGCAGGGTGTTGCACGTGAGTGGGCGTGCTTATCAGGTGGCAGGCATGCGTGCAGCGCTGGGCGGGCGCACGTGAGCGGGTGTGCTTATTAGGTGGTAAGCGTGGATGCAGCGCTAGGCGGACGCGCGTGAGCGGGTGTGCCCCACCCCGCCCCGCCCCAGCCCCCACCCCCACCCCACCCTTCCCCAATACCGCACCCCATCTGTTGCACGTGAGCGGGTATGCTTATTAGGTGGCAGGCATGTGCTTACCATTCCCCCGCCTCCCCACCCACCCCCCACCCCTTTGGGCTACTCTTCCGCATGCGTGGAAACAGTGCTGAGCGGGTGCACTTGAGCGGGTGTGCTTACCATTCCCCCCTCCCCCCCACCCGCCCCCCCCCCCACAGTGCTGAGCGGGCGCACTTGAGCGGGTGTGCTTACCAATCCCCCCCCCCCACCCCCCCACCCTGCCAAAAGTGTGTGTGTGTACAGATGAGCCAGATGACAGAAACCTTGTGTGCGCAGATGATCCAGAGTGCATGGCGCAATAAGTGAGGAAAGCCTGTGTGTACAGATGATCCAGATTTGTGTGCGCAGATGATCCCCTGCCCCCCCCCCCCGTGTGTGTGTGTGTGTGTGTGTGTGTGTGTGTGTGTTTGTCTGGGCCATGGTCAAGGTGGCGATCGAACGATGCAAAAGGAACAGCGAAGTTGCCTGCCACATGTAACTTGCTATGTAGTCTCTTATGTCTGCCATCTAGTGGCGAAGCCCTTTCGTTTTTCTTTCTAAGGAAGGCCAAGAGGACACCAAGCATTGAGGCAAACCCCCAAATTTGAGGAGCATGCTGATCACTCTTGGGAACTGCGGAGCATGTTTGCACCCCAGGCGTGCATCGTTCGATCGCCATGGCCAGGGCCCCTCCGGTCCCCAGGGTGGAAGAAACAAGTGCCAGGCGTCCAATTCGCCTCAGGAGCGGCTCAGAGATCGTGGATGAGATGGGCAACGTGGTCAGCGGTGGGCTCTCCTCGACAGGCAGATTGAAGCTTGCAAAGCCCCTGCTTTCATGGACTTCCACAGGGGCCATGGTGAAGGGGGGGAAACCCCCTTACGCCCTGAATGTTGTGGGGGCTGATCCTTAGCCGAGGCTTACCCTGGGATAGGCTCCCAAAGCCGCCTTGGGATGTTTTGGCGACCGGTTGTGGGATATTGTGTGGCTTGTGAACTGCGGTCGGATTTTGGGAAGTCAAGCGATTGTCAGGCATCATGTCTGCCGGCGTCACCGAGAAGCAATTCTGAGCACGGATGGACGTTCTTTTGCGCCCTCTTGGAAGCCAAGAGACCTGCACCCAGCACTGCTGAGTGGTCCGGGGCTGGGATGCTGAAGCTGGTGGATCCAGGAAGGGTGATCGGACAAGCGACAGAGTCATCCGTTTCAAGTTAATTTAGAGAGAGCTCCTGCTAGGAGTGCCCAGGCTGACGTTAAAGCAGTTGCCCAGTGGTGCCCTTGTTTCCTTTTTTTGGGAAAGGTGTCCCTTTAAAGTCAACCAACCAAAAATGGGTGCCCTTTTCTTTTCCCATGGCCACTGGGCATCTGAGTCAAAGCAGCTTCATCTGCCATCATTTGCAACCGGTTCCCCCCGGGCAAAGCGGGTGCAAGGCTGCCTGCCGAGAATCCAGGGCACTCCTCTCAGATGCGTCTCTTCTCTTTTTCCCCGGTTTTCGGCCGCGCAAGCGGCGCCGGCGCGAGGCCGGTTGCGATCTTTCGGGCCATGCGGCGCGAGAGAGGGGCCCAGAGGCTTGAACCCAGGCTGCAAAAGCGCAGCTTTGGTGCCGTCGGGTTTGTTTGGCGCGTTATAGCGCGTTCCCCCCTTTTTGTTTCTTGTTGCTGCAGGGCGCCAAACATGAAAGTTTGGTTGAAGCAAAACTCGGGTTTCTTCCTTTTGCCAAGTCATGGTCCACGTTCCCGAGAGGTATCACTGGTGAGGTATGCGAGTTTTAACATCAAACGAAGGAAATGTCTATGGGAAACCAACCTGCTTAGCCACCGTCACTGGCCTGGCAGCCCTGGATGCTCTCTGAATTGATAGATATTCCTTTCAAGAGGTCCTCGAGGTGCGAAGGTTGAGCTTCCATCCGCGCCCAACACGCGGCCTCGCAGAATCACAGGCTCTCAGCAGGCTTTCCAAGAGCGCCCCAACATCTCATCTTCGATGGCGTCCCGTCTTGCAGTGATCCAGCGTCAGGCGGGGCAGAGAAGCCTCCAAGATGACACGAGGGTGCTGCAAGACTACATATCTTTGGGGGGTTCCGGTCGTCCCCAGGGCATGTGGCTGGGCAATGCTGTGTGCCCAACATTGGCTCATTTGTGGTAGCATGTCATATTGCCCCTTTAAGCAGAAAACACGAGCTCAACAGGGGTGACGAGGAAACTCTCATGGGGACTGTTTCCACAAAACATGCGCCACATCACAGCTCTCTGATTCTGGTTGTTCAGCAGCACCATGTAAATCCCTTGTTGTTTGGTGTTTTCTCTGCTCAACCCCAACCAGAACTGCTTCCCTTTTTCCACCTTTCGGGTCGCACATCAAAATCTAAGGCAGCAACCCCAGCTTCTAAGAGGATGCCTTCCACTACACCCCCACCCACAACCCCCCGGCAAACACAGGATAATATATATATATATCCTTTATGCAGTGGCACGCTCTGGTTGAAGTTTATCTGTGTAAAAATGGAGGGTTCGGCGCAGTGTCCATGGGTGCTTTTTGCACACCGGTTTGCCACTAGCCGCTGTTACATCTTTCTTAGACGCGAGCCTTTCCGTCTGCGTGGGTTTGTCATTTCCACGTTGCTGGTTCACATGCGTCTGGAAATACTCACCAAGAGGATTGGCAAACGGTGCCACTTTCTCTCAAGTAGTTGCACTGCACGATTTTTAATCCTGATCCTGTATACACATATAGACACACACACACATATATATATATATATACACATACGTATATATATAATGTGCGTGAAATGTGTAAATTCATATAAACACTGGCAACAGTTGAACAGTTCGGTGGTGGTAGCCGCTTCGCCCCAGATCCTGGCCAGCGATGCGGCGGTCAGCGGCGGGCTGACAATGCAGAAGGTCTCCTCCGAGGATGCGGAGTGGGACCGCCGCGTGCAGGAGATGAAGACCTGGATGGGCCCAGACCTCAGCTGGAGAAAGGTCCTCAGCTCCAGGGCCGGAGGGTTTTTGCTGGGACCTGGGCAGGGTGGGCTGGAAAGATGCTTGCTGAAGAGGGCCCCTTGAAGGTTTTTGTTTTTCCAGGTTGCTTGGGCTTCTCCAGGTTAGGAGGCGAGAAATACGTATCGCAGCAGATGCCCGGGAAACAGCTCCGCCATTTTTTCGGGGCAGATAATTGATAATGATGGCCTAAGCTGAAGTGTTGGTGGCATGGAAGCATCCATACCTCAAACCATACCTGGAAAGCTCCCGGTCTCAAGCTTGAGGACCCCCCAAAATGAAACATGCTTGGTTCCTTTCCTGTTTACCTTTCGGTTTCCAGTCCAACTTAAAGGGCACTCTCAAAAAAACACATTGGCCCAACTATGAATCATATACTCTAGAGTACCCCACTGCAGCACCAAGGTTGCGCGGTTGTCAACAACTCCCGGAAAAAAAAGGGGGTCCCCTTTTGGGGTCGACGGTTTGTGAAGCAAATGATGTACTCAAGACTCCAATCAGGGGTCCCCCGCCTGGCAAATAGCAAGCATTGCAGATATTTCGGAGGGTCCGCAATTTGAAGCAGCTCACTGATGTTTCCGTCAGGAATCCGCAACTTTACGTTGTATTGTGTTGGCTTCGGGATGCGGGAAGCGTCAAGTGCAAGGCAGATCAAGCCTTTCTCGGCAGGCCCGGAGGCAACAAGAGCACAGACCACACACTCTGCCATTCCTAGGCCAAACCTGAAAACCACCCAGCATCCTCAGCCTCAAACGCTGCTCAACCAGTCATCACCTCCGTAGGCCCCGAAACAAAAAAAACACACACACACCCCAGGCATGTCAAATCCAATTTTGCCCCCCACCCCGAAAAAACCCAGCCACCCAACATGTCCCCGAAGCCGACCACCAACCCGAGACCCGAGCGGGAGGAGGCCGGGGGGAGGCCGGCCCGGCCAGTCGGGCGGCTCGGGCAGCTCGGCCTTCGGGCGGCTCAGTGGCTCAGGCGGCGAGCGCTTCAAGCACACGGTGCGGCCCTACAAGGTGGAGGACGTGGTGAAGCTGCAAGGCGCCGCAGGATCAACAGATCGGGAAAAAAAGAACACGCCCTGGAAAATGTGAAGCGGCTTTCCAAAAAATGGATGCAATACGAAAGGCGCTGTGTTTTGTTTCTTCTTTTTTTATTTTGTGGGGGGGAGAGTTGGGGGGGGGAAAGGTTGAAGCCAAGAGGACCGCCGATCTCGGTGTCCTGATTTTGACATCTACGGGGATTTGGACCCCCACTCAAGACACATTTGAGCGGAAGCCCGGCACGAACTCTTCATGTGTGGCGTACCGATGGAGGTTTCGAGGGACTCCCTTCTCAAACACATTTTTGGGGGTTTGTGTCCCGTAAAGCTAGAAAGACTTGGAGGCTCAACCTGGAGGATGTCCCACTTTGATGGATCCAGTTTCACCTCCTGACAAGAGAAGGGCTGCAGGCTTCTAGGCTTCTTGCCAGCGTCATGGAGCTGGCATTCCTCAACATGCGCTTTCGGGAAGCTCATGACTTACATTCGTACATTCGTTTCCCCAATGTTTGGAGGAATTGTGACTCTGCCACTTGGCGTCCCTGGTCGATTTCATGTTGCTTTGCTTCGCTCGGGCCCGCCTTGGAGTCCTGGGAGTCGTGAGCCCGTTGGATTTGGGTGGGTGGGGGGCTCCGCTGACTTGCTGAGGCACCTTCCCGCTCCAGTTCACCGGCGCGGCCATCTCGGCCCTTCGATGGGATCGGAGCGGAGCTGGTTGGTTGGCCGTTGGTTGGCTGCCTAGCAGCTGGTTGGTTGGTCGTTTGGCTGGCTGCTTAGCAGCTGGTTGGTTTGTCGTTTTTTGTTGGCTTAGCACCTGATTGGTTGGTCATTTGGTTGGCTGCTTAGCTGGCTGGTTGGTCGTTTGGTTTGTTACTTGGCGATCTGTGATGTTTCCTGCTTTTGGTTGGGTTGCTTTGATGCACAAGAACGGGCACGTCTCCACGCGACGTTCAGCAAGTGTACTTTTTGAGAAGGGACTGCTGAGACAGAAAGGGAAAGAGAGCGAGAGCGAGAGAGAGAGAGAGAGAGAGAAAAAAAAAGAAGAGGAGGGATCGAAAGAGTATAGCATGTAAAGGAGAGCAGGCTGGAGCGGAGCGGGGTGGAGTCGAGTTGAGTGAAGCGAGTTGTTTGTCTCCCTTTTGGAGCTCTGGCCCACCCCACCACCCGCCCCATCCCCTCCCCCCCCCCGACCACCCACCCCTCCCCCGACCACCCACCCCACCCCACCCCACCCCCACCCCATCCCCCCCGCCCCCACCCAGCCCACCGCCCACATGCCCACCCCATGCCCCCCCATTCCAACCGAGGACAAGTTGTACAAAATGCTGCGGGAGCACCAGGCCAAGGGCACCTGCTCCCACACCTTTGGGGCGCTGGACACCGTGCAGGCAATTCGGGGGGTGACCCTTGCGCCCTCCGTGCGGTGGCAGGGAGGGGGAGTTGAAAAGACCCCGGGTGGTTGGGAAAGGAGCCCATCAAGTGTCGAAAGTGTCAAGTGAGCAGTGCGCAGGCCTTAAAACTTAGTTTCCGTAGTTGCCATTGTGGGCACCTGCTTCTGAACCACAACAGATACCCAGCTCCGGATCCAGGTGACGCAGATGGCCAAGTACCTCACCTCCGTCTACGTGAGCGGCTGGCAGTGCTCCTCGACCGCCTCCACCTCTAACGAGCCGGGCCCCGATGTGGCAGACTACCCCTACGACACCGTGCCCAACAAGGCAGAAAACACTTGGATTGACCAAAATCAATTTGTGATTTCACTTGGATTGCAAGATCGGTTTGTTGGCAGTTTTCAGATTAGTCTTCTTTAGAGACGTGGTCTCTGGACTTATTTTTTTCCCGCAGGCGCAGGGGCCAGAATCGGGCCGGTCTGCCGGTGTTTGTTTTCCTTTTTTTTTCCGGCTTTTTTTGGGACTGGAGTGCTCTGGGATGAAGCTTTGGGCCAAAAGGGTCCTGGGCTCAAGTTCAGTCATCCCAAGGTCCGCGTTTTGGTGCGTTGAACCGGGCCGGGCCGACCCCGTGGCCGACCCCGTGGCCGACCCTGTGGTTTGATTGGCTGTCGGGAGAGTGTGGTTGAAGAGCTTTCCCCTCCCGGCAGGTGGCAATTTTGAGGATGCAAGGGTGTTCCTTTCATGGACCCAGAGTTTTTGAGGATGTCCATTGCTTCTTCCCCCTCAGGTGGCAATTTTGAGGATGCCAGGGTGTTTCTTCGTGCATGGTTCCTTGTTTCGGGGAGTCC